TTCCCAGGAGAAATGAAAGAAGCCAACAGGCTCCATAGGGAATGTTCAGTCAAGTATAGCCTTGGCTCCTCCCCCTCACAGGACTCCTATTAGTCCTCTTTATGTTTCTCCTAATAGGACCATGTCTATTAAATTGCCTACAGAAGTTCCTGCAAGATCAGATACACAAATTCACCAACCAATCAATTACTTCTTTAAGACTACCAGCCCCTGATGCCCAAGACAGAGACCTGTGACTCATGACCAACTCCTCTAACTCCAGAGACTCTGCCTCCACATAAAACCCTCTCTAGACCCTTTTCCAGATTCTACAATCCCTCTTTCACTTTCTAGGAATGAGAACTACTTTCCAGCAGGTCCACTCTGCTTGTTCAGTCTGCTCTACAGTATCCCCACAAGGAAGCAACAAACCTAAACTCCCCACACATCAGATGAGGAGCCACTAGCCAGGCAAAGACTAGTAGATCAACTTCACTCATGTGCCCAAGCACAAAAAGCTTCACTACCTACTTACTTTGGTTGATACTTTTCAGGTTGGATAGATGCCTTCCCTACATCCAGGGAAATTGCTGACACCATTGCCTCCATCCTCACTGAGGGGATCATTCCCAGGTTTGAACTTCTCACCTCCATCCAGTCAGACAACGGTTCAGCCTTCACTTCTCAGGTTTTTCAACTAGTTTCCAAAGGCCTCAACATCACTTGGAGGCTCCACATCCCCTACCAACCCCAATCCTTGGGTAACGTTGAGAGGCCTAAAGGCATTCTCAAAGATCATCTCACTAAACTTACTATTGAACTTAGGCTCTCCTGGCCCAATCTCCTGCCATTGGCCCTCACCTGAATTCAGGCAGCCCCAAGGGCCCCCTCAGGCCTTAGCCCCTTTGAGCAATTCTGTGGATGCCCTTTCTTAACCACCCAAAGCTTTACAGTCACTCCTCCTCCCCTGTGCCCTACCTGCCCTATCTCACACTTCTAACAAACTCCTAAGGGAACATGCAGACCAGTGCCTTCCTGTGCCATTCATTGCTTCAATCCCAGCACAACCACAAACTGAATTGGACTCTCTTCAACTCGGTGATTCAGTCTTACTTCAGGAACTGCGTTCTCAATCATTGGAACCTCAATGGACGGAACCCCATACAGTCATACTTAACTACCCAATGGTGACCAAGCTTTTAGACACTCCCCCTGGTACCATGTCTCCTGTTAGGATCTGTAAACAAGTCAAGATGGCGCCTGGCATTTTGCCAGAGGGAGTGGTTTGTGAAGTAATGCCAGCGAGCCATTAAGTGTGGAGATTCCTTATTGGCTGACTGCTCTATCTAGTTTATGTTAATTAAGATAAGCTGTGTGGAATGTATATATACCCCTCCTGTCCTACAATAAACGGCTCCCACTCCTGCTGTATCAATGTACACAAGTTGCTCGTCCCCCCCCCCCCCCCCATTTACTTTGCTGCAGCCGGATGCGGCAGCCTCCCACCTTAAAAAGGCACCTGTTCCAAATGTCCAGTCCTGGACTTCCACCACGCCCACCAAACTCAAAATTTCCCTCGTCTTCTTTTACTAATCATTAATCTCTCAAGTTTCTATCCCAACCACAGATGGCGCTTTAACATCCAAGCAACATGGCACCAGGATGACACCACCCACTCTCAGTTTATGGGTCAAGGTGATTTTCCTTCCACTGGCTGCAATCGGGTTGTCACCCTTAACATTACTGGATTCAACCAAGCCACCTCTGATACTTCCTAGAGTCCCTACAACAGGACCAATGGCTGATACCAAGAATCTCCTCCACCCAGGACTGGTTTGATGCCATCAAGGACTTGTGGATTCAAGGAACTTTTATGGACTTTACCCCTACCAAAGTAGTTATCTATAGCCACTGAGTGTTATTTTTGGTTGCCCTGATGTTCTCAGACCTGTCCCCCGAAAGAACATTCCTCCACTTCCCCTTCTAGGCCCAACGCTGACCAGAATTAAGCAGGAAGTAGCCAGAGGACTTTACGCTGTCCCCCATGTCATTTAGAAAAACAAAAAGGGAGGAATGTTAGGTGCAGGACAGGCTGAGTAAGCTATCTGCAGGGCATGCCAAACAAAGTTAGCTGCAGGATGACCTGGCCACTCAAACCCTCTCTCTGGTTCTTTATCAACTATTTGCTTCAAGCCCAAACGCCCAAGCCCCCGCTCAAGGCTGAACACTCAACCCCTTGCTCAAGGCCAAACACGTAACACCCTTTGTGCCAACAAGGCAGCTTGCAGACCCAGAGACCTCCTTAGATTTGGGCTATAAAAACTCCCTCCTGCTGGGCTCCTCTCTCTCTTGCTTTCTCTGTCTCTCTCTCTCTTCTCTTTCTTTCTTTTCTCCTCTGTTGCACTGCTGCAATAAAGATCTCTTGGTTGCTCCAAGTGTTGTGGTCACTTTTCTTTCAATGTCCTCTTATTTCTTAAGATTAAGGCATAAAAAGTAGTTGAGTGTAGTGGTGCACACCTGTAGTATCTCTTCTGGGGAGGCAGGAGGATTCCAAGTTCAAGGCCAGTCTGGGAAACTTAATGAGACCCTGTCTCAAAATAAAAAATAAAGACAAAAAGGGATTGGGATATTGCTCAGTGGGTAGACTGCCCCTGAGTTCAATCTCCAGTACTGGGAGTAGGGTGAGGAAGACATGAAAAGGCTGGTTGTAGATGGACACAATATCTTTATTTTACTTATTTATTTTTATGTGGTGCTCATGATCGAACCCAGTGCTTCATACATGATAGGCAAGCCCTCTACCACTGAGCTACAGCTTGAAAAGGCTATTTTATTTTTAAAAATTATTGTTGTTGTTGTTTTCAGTACTGAGGGGTAAAGCCAGGGGCTCTTTACTACTAAGGCACAACTCCAACTCTTTTTATTTTTTTTGAGACAGGGTCTTGCTAAGTTGCTGAAGTTCTTGTCAAATTGCTGAGGCTGGCCTCAAACTTGTGATCTTCCTGCCTCAGTCCTCCCAAGTCCTTAGGATTATAGGTGTGCACCACTGTGTCTGGCTGTTCTATCTTTTAAATTTACAATACCAACTGAAAATGAAGTTGCTAAAGCCTCTATCTGAAATTCTTTCCCAAAAAGCTGCATATGTCTCTCCTTTACTTTATTTGGATCTCTGTTCCAATGTTATCTACTCAGAGAAGCTGTTCAGGATCATTTTATCTAAAATAGTAACTTCTTATTGCTCTACCCGCTTACACAATTGTTTTCTTTAAAGCCCCTATCACTACTTCACATATTGTGTATTTATTTTCTGTCAGTTTCCAGCCACTAGAATGTTAGCACTGGAACTTTAGCTGCTTTGCTAACTGACACACCCACTGCACAAAATATAGTGCCTAGCACATAAGTGTTGAATAAATGAATGCTATGCTTGGCTGAACTGAACTAGGAAATAGGCTGATATTCATACTTCTATCTTAGATTTAGAAATTTAACATATTCTGGAAGAAAAGAAAAAATGGTTGCACAAAAATTGTAAAAAAACAGTAATTTATGGAGTGCATATCAACAAAATTCATAGAGGCCGGCATAAGGATGGGCACTCAATTTGAGTGACTATAAATTAGTCACTTAAGTAAGAACTGCTTTCATTTTTCTAAATTTTTAGCAGTTAAGTGCTCCTCTAAAAAAGAAAACAGAAAACTTAAGAAAAATAGAAATTATAATTCTGAATTTCTACCATTAAGGATTACCTTAAAAAGCAAAAGTGAGAATAAAAATATTTTTGTCACTATTACCAAAAACAGCCGATCAAATATAGAAGGCAAATTTTAATCTTTTTCAATTAATCTTTGCTATTTCAGAAAGAATATAAAAATTACCTAACATGTTATTTTAAACATAGTAGATATATAAATACACAAATCTTAAAAATCTTTGCTTTGGCTAGCTAAATTTTATGAACTAGTTAACCTTGAGTTATAAATTTATTTTTTATAAGATTATAAAAGATACATTCTAAATGACTCCTATGTACCATTTACTTTTTTTCTGAAATTATAATGCTTTAAGTGATGGGAATGAACAATAATTACATCAATAACTGTCGTATCTGATTATTTTAAATTACTATTTATTAACTGAAAATCATGATTCTATCAGCTTTTATGTCAAGAATATCCATGTTGGCAAAATACACACTAATAAACGATCTAGTTCTATTTGACAAGTATTTTGTTTGGTTAAATTTGAAGAATTTATTCCCTCATTCTACTGAAAGTTCCATTTCTAAGATTACTCCACTATGTTTATGTTTTTGGGACAAATTTGAAAAATATCATATCATTAAAAATGGGTCAAATTTAGCTCCTTCCCACTTCTTGTTATATGTTTTCACATTTTTTTCTTTTTTCTTTTTTTGGTACTGGGGATTGAACCCGGGGCCCTTTACCACTGAGCTACATCCCCATCCCTAAACTCCTTCATATATCTAGTAATTACTTGGAAAAAATAGGTCCTGCTTATTTCCAACAAAATAGAAAGTTCCAGTTTGTGAAATAGTTGTAGGCAAGAAAAGCTGTTAGGCAAAAAGGTAAGCCCTAATATGACTAAGTGAAAACTTTACTATATATAAAGAAGAATAATAAGATATATAGGCAGAGATCCATAATGATAGCATAGTGATCTATTATTTCTAAGCTTTTCAGGTATTTCATAATAATAGGAACAAAAGGGTAATCTTCCCTAAAATGTATATAAATGGTTTGCCATTAATTAATTAATTGAATCCAGCAATATATACCATTGATCTACACCAGCTCTTTTTGAGACACGGTATTGCTAAGTTCTTAGTCTGGCCTCAAACTTATGGTCCTCCTGCCTAAGCCTCCCAGGTCACTGGGATTATAGGCATGTGCCACTGCACCCTGCATGGTTTACTTTTAGTAATAAATATTCATTGGTTTATATTATAAATAAAAACATGTTATTCTTGTAATAAAAAATGGCACATGTGAGCATTTTAATACAAATGATTAGAATATATTTATACTATATATAAGTCTACACATTAGAATACTAAAATTTTGCTATATATAATATCACCCTAGAATTCTTTAAAAAAAAAATCACTGGGAAGAATTAGATGATGTTTGTGAAATAGGTTCTCCCATTACAATACTGCTTCTGTCATTTAGAGTTTTGACAACATTTGTAGCTGGAGACTGAAGCACTTTACGAGAAAGCCTCATTCTTCCATCAGCTGGATCACGACCGAAGTATTTCACCTGTGTTAAAAAAATTTACTTTTTTAAAAGTTATAGCACATTGAATGACCTTCAAAATTAAACACATATGATCTAAATAAAGCAATTATTAATGTTTTTACTTATTCACTGAAAGCATAGCTCAGTGCTATGAAGAGGTATATGCTCAATAAATACAACTTGGTTAGGTAATTATTATAAAAAAAGGAAAGAAGGCATTTAGTTGTCTGATTATAACCTTTTGTTAAATCATCTGTCCCTTTTTAGTGTCTCTGAGTCTCCATCCTAGAAGACCAGTAAAAGCCACAGTGATTCTTGACAAGGCTTTCTGTACCTATTTGTGCTACAAACTATACTAGGTCGTGCTCAGATTTTCATTACTGCTCAGGAAACTATCACACTGGAGTTTATTTGGCTTCACTGTGGAAAATGGAAGTTAGGGGGAATGTAGAAATTTTAAAGTCCATCCTGATGTAAAAAAAAAACCAAAACTTTAAATCGAGATATGTTTTAGTTCTCCTTCTTTCCCTAGAGGCTCCATGAACAAAGGGATTATAGATCAGGAATAAACTAGTGGCCTTAGTTACTCAGGTCATGGGTATTAGGTATAACTGGAACACAATGTGGTGCAGCCAAAAAACCCAGATCAGCAATGACTTCTTTCATCAACTAAAAGGACTAAAAAAAAAGTCAATTTTACTATCAGCATTGTAGACTTGAACAACATAGCTCTTATCAAGCTCAAAGTGGTGGAGAAACAGAGTCTCAACTCCTCAAAAATCACAGTCAAGGTTTCCAATAAGGTAAATGATGAGATTTTTATGTCTTTCCCCAAACCACTGAGCCTGCATAACCAATGTGCTCATGCTCTCTCTCTTTTTTGGTACTGGGGATTGAACCCAGGAGCACTTTATCACTAAGCTACATCCACCATTCACAGTCCTTTTTTTTTTTTTTTTTTTAAATTTTGAGACAGGGTCTCATTAAGTTGTTGAGGGTCTCTTTGATCTTGTAATCCTCCTGCCTCAGTCTCCTAAATTGCTGGGATTACAGGTGTGTACTACCACACCAGGTTTCATGTATTTTTTAAAAGCTCTAAAGATAGCTGTTTTAGCTTAGCTATCAGTTTCTTGAGGGTAAAAACTGTTTCCTAAATCCTTAATGAATCTATATAAAGCAACCCTGAGGTTAAAAAAGAAGACTACATATAAATAATATACATCATAGATGTTAATTTTATTCTTTCAACTTACTTCTTGAAAATGATAATTAAAACTTCAAGTATAATTTAGAACTTTAAGGCTAAAAGTTTGAACATAGGTACCTGAATTTCTTGGCCAACTTCTAATCCTAGGGCAGTGGGATGTTTAATCTGAAAAAAAGAAACAAAACCAAAAACACCATGTTATAATACATTTTTTTTCCCTCAAGTGGACAAAAGCTTTATTGTTTTCTGATTATAAAATCTGTTAGTTGGGAATGGTGATGCACACTTATAAATTCAGCTATGTGGGAGAATGAGACAGGAGGATTGCAAATTGAGATTGTGTCTCAAAAATAAAAAGGCTAGAGATGTAGCTGAATGATATAACACTTGGCTATATATGTGAGACCTTGGCCCAATCCCCAGTATTATGCCTCTGCCCCCCAAATCTGGAATCCCCAGTACTCTGCCTCCACCCCCTAAATTTATTAATTACAAAATTAAAGTAACATAGTGGTACTGAGAAGAAATTAAAAATCATCCAAAATCCTTCTACCTGCAGATAACTACTGCTAACATTCCAACGAGTATCCCTTCAAATGTCTACTGTATTGCTTTTATAAAAATGGGCCTTTTTTCATTCAATAATATGTTAAGAATGCCTTTTCATATCAATAAATGAAGCATTACAGAGGAGTATCCAAACTATATAATTTATTTAATCAATCCCTTAAAGATAATCATTTAATTTCTTATAAATTCCCAACATCAAAAATATGAATTACTGATAGATTTAGGTGAAAGGTATATGAGTGTTGAGTGTATTATTCTTTCAACTTTGCAGCAGGTTTAAACTTTTTCGAAATAAAAAGTTGAGACAGGTGTGGTGGGGCATGCCTGTAATCACAGCAACTTGGGTGGCTGAGGCAGGAGGATTGCAAGTTCAAAGCCAGCCTCAGCAACTTAGCAAGACCTTGTCTTAAAGTAAAAAAATTAAAAAAGGACTGAGAATGTAGCTCACTGGTTAAGCTACCCTGGGTTCAATTCCTAGTACCAAAAAAAAAAGTTGAGGAAAACCCCCAAAGTTTTAATGTTGCACTGATCATTTAATTATCTACTCTAATTATCTTCTGAGAATAAAGTCCTACATATGGAACTTGTGGGATCAGAGACATTTACCAAACATTCCCCAAAGTGTGTCACAAAATTGTCCCTTAATAACGGTCTAGAGAATATCCTTCTTTTCTCTTACCCACACTAGAAATTTCCAACTACTTGAAAGTTAAAAATATATTGATTTTATTGAATTTAAAAAAATTATTATTGATATAGAATACTATGATTGGTTTGAGAAAAGGGGGGAAAAAAGCCTGGGGTTAGGGCTATAGATCAGTAGCATGAGTACATGCTTGGCATGTAGGAGTCCCTGGGTTCAATCCCTAGCACCAAAAAAATAAAAAATAAACAAAGCGCCAAATGAAAATCAAAAAGCCTGCCCATATTCTTTGCTCATTTTTCTATTGATATTCATTTTTAAATGATCTATAAAACTTGTGTATATTCAGCCCGTCCTATGTTACAAGCACATTCCCATAGGCTGCTGTTTGTCTTTCATTATTGTGATTTTTGCCATACAATTAAATTAAAAAATTGCAGTTAAATTCTTATCAATTTATTTACATTTTTACCTTTGATACAATGAGAAAGGGTTCCTCAGCACAAATACCAAAACATTCTTACTTTCTTCTAGAGTCTCCCTCCTCCAAAATTTTATTTCTTATTCCTACCATCTCTTTAGAAAATTTAGCTGTTTAATTTAGATGGAATTTTGGTATAAAAATGACTGAAGATCCTACTATGATAACCAATTATATACAGTGAAAATTGAATAATTTGTATTTCTTTCTTTCTTCTTCTTTTTTTTTTTTTTTGTACTGGGGATTGAACCCAGGGGCACTTAATCACTGAGTTACATTCCCAGTCCTTCTCATTTTTTAAAATTTGAGACAGGGTCCCACTAAGTTGCTGAGGCTGGCCTTGAACTTATGATCCTCCTTGGGGCCTTCAGAGTTGCTGAGATTATAGATGTGTACTGTTGCACCCAGCAATTTTTATTTCTTCATTTAGTAAAAATGCAACTTTAAGCATGTATTATGGACCTATGTATATAACTGGGTTTATTTTTTGGTCTCTCTCTCTCTCTCTTTTTTTTTTGTATAGATTCTCTAATCCTGGGCCAAAAAATATTTTCTTTTATTCTCTGTAGCTTTATGTTTTAATATATGGTAAAATGGAGACACTTATTATTCTCTGACCCCTGTATTTTCATTGAGTAGTCTTAGTCTGCCAGATGTCTGAATTATAATTAAGATTAATGAATTTAAAACATTTCAATAATTAGATTCCCATCATTGGTTGGTCAGTAGAAAATTGAGAAATCATAGTTACATGTAGATATTTTCAGTCACTGCTATGTGCTAGTTCCAGATGTTATTCAACCTTAAAATGCTTAGGAGAAACATAAACATCTGTGCTAAACAATGTAAAATCTTTTGTCAGCAGTATCTCTGCCATTTTTGTTTTCTGTACTTAACTAGCAATCAAGAAAGTGTACAATTCTCACCAATCCAAGTAATTTCTTTTTTTTTGGTCCAGGAATTGAACCAGGGACACTTAATCACCGAGCCACAACCCCAGCCCTTTTATTTTTTAACTTTGAGTCAGGGTTTCGCTAAATTGCTAAGGGCCTCGCTATTTAGATGAGACTGGCTTTGAACTTGTGATCATCCTGCCTCAGCCTCTCCCACCAATGGAATTAGAGGTGTGCACCACCAAATACCCAACTGATCCAAGTAATTTCAACATGGTTATATTCAGGCAATAAAAATAATCAAATCTGTATTTTTACCTTTCGTTGATCAAGTTGTGTGTTATGAAGAAGCACAGCAGTCATATTTGGATATAGTTTTACCATTACTCCAGTGTCTCTACAAGAAGGGAATAAGCCTGGTTAAAACAATAAGTGTATCTACTGACAAAACTTATTATGTTTTCATAGACGGAAAAAGTAACAAAACAAAACAAAAGCCCACACCAGTATATAATTATAAAAATTATGATTACCTAAAACAGGTATTTTTCAACTGAAAATATACTAATACTTGTCATCAAAAGAAAAAGCTTTTAGTATATTTACCTATATCTCTTTTGTAACTTCCAAATTTTTTTGAAATGACATTCAATATTTTAAAATAGTATAGAATATTAACCTATTAGAAGTGATTTAAGAAAGGGGTTACATAAAATAGAAAAATTATTTAATTAATAAAGCTCTCTTTCTTTGCTTTAATCTATTAAGCTAAGCCATCCTATTTCTTATTTTTTATCTGCAATATTAAACAAATTATCCCACTGCCTTTATTCATTTTAAATAGTTTTAAACATTCCTGCTACCTTGGTAATTTCTTTTAAAAAAAAAGGAATTCTGGGATTATTTTAGCTAGTTAAAAATGCTTTTGAAGTTGAAATTGGCTTTTAAAAATGTATATATTAAACAGTAAGTAGTACTCTTTAACTGCTGGTTAGCCAACTGCTGGGTATGGTAACTGCATGCCTGTAATTCCAGCTCCTTCAGAGGGTGTGGCAGGAGCATCACAAGTTGAAGGCCAACCTGGGAAAGTTAGCAAGAACCTGCCTCAAAAAAAGAAAAACATTTTTTTTTTTTTTAAACAGGCCAACAATAACAAAAAGAAAATATTGATTTTTGTGTTTTGGGCCTATTTATTGTTACTGGAAAAATTAAAATGGTAGAAAATTTGGTTAAAGAAAAAAACTCAGAAGAACCTATCACTTGAAAATCTACAAACTGGCAAAGAAAATAAAATACAGTACAACTTAAAAAATATTACTGATTATATGGCAATTGACATATAATCCAAACACTTTATATTTTCAAAGTAAATAAAACAAATGTTAAGTTAACCTGGACTTGAAATCTTTGAAAACCCAGTGTAGTGTATTAGTTGGTAGTACCTGATTTCAGTTATTGTGGCAGTATAAACTGCTCCAAACTCTAATTGTTGCTCTTGCTGTGAATTAAAAAAAAAAAAAAAAAAAAAAAGCCATAAGATTCACAAAGAAAACAAACAGAAAGAAGATAAAGCAATTAGTATAAGATCTATACTTACATCATCTTTGCAGATTTCACTAATGAATTCTTTTGCTTCATGCATTGCACTGGGTGTTGGTGCAAATACAGAAAATGTTTCTTCATCCAACTGATTAATAGTTACACCTTTTAAAAAGATAGTTTAGTTCCCAGCATAAAAAAAAAAAAAAAAAAAAAAAATCATGGAGACTAGTCTGAAAGTCACTAGGAGAGCAAAGAGGGGCAGCTGGGCAGGTTTATTCAGTGTAATCATTGCTTTGGGAAGGGATCAATTCATCAACACATATATACTGCACACCTGCTATATATCTGGCATTATATTAGGTCCTGGGGATAAAATAGAGAACTAATGTCCTATCATATCAGGGCTAATTTTTGAGGCTCTTGTTTTATTCTCTTAATTATGACTAGAAACTATACTAGAATCCTTCCTCACCTTTTTGTCTCTCTTCCTCTTATCCTGTAGAGTGAACAGATGAATGAGGAACAAAATCATGTCAGTTTCTCATTCTCAACAACTAGCTATGACAACTTTGCTTCTTATCCTTCTTCAATAACCTCAAAGCTGCTAAGTATTAGGAAACCTAAACACTGTTTTCAGAAGAAACAAATTAAGGCATAACTATTTCTACATATACTTTTAAATAAAAAGAGTGTAAATAAAACTAAGCAAAATTAGTAATAAAAAATTCAAACATAACTTCACTAAAGGGAAACACTAAAAATTATTCAGGAACAATCCATTTAAAAATGTTGCCAAAAAACCTTGATGAATGCTTGACTACCCTTCTTGAATATAGTTAAGAATTAAACATTTACTGAGGCACACAAAAAACTCACAAAAAAGACATGAAATCCTTCTCTCCTGGTCTTTCTCTTTGTTTTTCAAATATATATATTTTCGGAACAACATAGTAAAGATAAAATAGCAAAACTACATATCCAGCATTTAATAAAACCCACCTGTTTTATTAGATTAAATAAAATCTCACCTGTTTCAGCTTGAAGTTTTTTTAAATGATATCCACCTGGTCCAACAAATCTTGCTCGTTTTGATAATGGAACCTGAACAGTTTCTGAAATGCAATACAGATAAATACATAAATGAACCTAAAACATGTAGAAATATTTAATTATGAAACAGAAAGACAATGTTACTTGATTAAAAATGTCTAGGAGTACCCCCTAGGTTAAAATAAAGTATTTTTCTTTTATTTTTTAATTGATACATAAAAACAAAAAAATTATACATGTTTATGGGCTACAATGTGATGTTTCTATACACATAGTGTAATGTTGAAATAAGGGTAAACATATACCTAAATATTTTAGGTATTTATCCTCTATGGTGAAAATATTCAAAACACTTCTAAAGTATTTTAGCAATAAAAGTACTTTGAATATTTTTATTTTGCGTATGGGGTAAAAAAAATTAAAAACCTATAATATACTTTCACATACTAATGTTTGTTATGGTGAAATCAGTATTCATTTGTTTGTTTGACTGTTTGTACTAAGGGCTGATCCCAGGAGCCCTTCATTCACTGAGATACATTCTCAGTCTTTTTTTTTTTTTCCAAGAGAGGGTTATTTTTTTTTTTTAAGAGAGAGAGAGAGAGAGAGGGGGGAGAGAGAGAGAGAAATTTTTTTATATTTATTTTTTAGTTTTCGGCAGACACAACATCCTTGTTTGTATGTGGTGCTGAGGATTGAACCCGGGCCACACGCTTGCCAGGCGAGCACGCTACCGCATGAGCCACCTCCCCAGCCCCCCAAGAGAGGGTCTTGATAAGTTGCACTGTCTGGCCTGGAACTTGAGATCCTCTGGCCTCAGCCTCCTGAACCACTGGAATAATAGGTGTGTAGCACTGTGCATGGTGTGACATTAGTGATAATTTTAATGTATTACCTACAACAGGTCCATTTTCTTTTCTAGATGCTCGAGGTTTTGAAATAGTTTTGTTCATAATCTGTAGTATCTCTTTCTTTGCCACTAGAAAGATAAAGACACAATAAAGGTTACAACTACATAATGTGGGACCCGAAATAGCTGCATTCGGGAGTCCCGTGGCCCTGCCCCACCCTACTCCCTACTGGAGATGAAACTCAGGGTCTTGAACATTCTAGGCAAGCACTCTATCACAGAGCTATATCCCCAATACTTTTCCTTTATTCCTCCCTATTTTGAGATAGGGTCTCACTGAATTGCCCAGGATGGCCTTGAACATTGTGATCCTCCTGTCTCAGTCTCATGAATAGCTGGGATTACAGTTATGCAACACCCTGCCTAGCTCACTCTTAGTTTTTATGGAATAAAATTCAAACTCTTTAGCCTAATAATCAAAGCTCTCCATATCATAATTATTTTAAAGATTCACTCATATTCCGTCCTTTATAAAGTCTATCTTAGATGCTTAATTGCTGAAAATCAAAATTTCTCTGGTTTCTTTCTTGGATGATTAGTCATGTGCTCAATAATTAATACTTCTTGATCCCAGTTAAATCATATAAAATTCATTTTTATTTTTGGCCATGCTAGTGGTCAAACCCAGCATCTCACGCATACTAGGCAAGCACTCTACCATTGAATTATATCCCTAGCCATATGAAATTCCATATATTTACATTTGTTTGTATTTTTTTTAAATTGGTACTTGGGATTGAACCCAGGGACACTTTGCCACTGAGCTATAACCCCAGCCTGTTACTCTTTATTTTGTGACAGGGTGTCACTAAGTTGTCAGCTGGGATTATAGGTGTGCACCATGATGTCTGGCTGAAATTCCATTTTTTAAAGGAAATATCTCATAATAAGTCTAATGAAAATTATTGTTCCAGTTGACTAGACACTGGCTTACCTGATGCTTGCTGAATGGCTTCCATTACAATTTTCATTGGTATTCCAGGTAATTTAATATCAGCCTAATATGGAAGGGCCAAAAATAAATGAATAAAAACACTGATTCATAATATTATTTAAATTTACAAAAATGAGACAAAGTACGTTTTAAAAATACCTGTAATGCAGTTATTCCCTTATTAGTACCAGCTATTTTGAAATCCATGTCTCCATTGTAATCTTCAATTCCCTTTACGAATTTAAGAAATTATGAAAAAATTTTAAACAAAAACAAAATTCACCCATAGTCACTGTACAAGAATTTTAAAACATAGCCTTAGAAGTAAACCATGTCCTCTAAGACTAAACATAAAGAAAAGTCTCCTATATTAACTGCTGCTTCCAATTTGTGGCTTTTTAAAGATACAAATATTTTCAACAGAAACATTATTTTTAGATCATGCCTTTCACAATAAATGTGTAAGAATTAATTTACAAATTATCCTAAAGCAAGTCATTATGGATACCTATCCTGTAATATATATTTTTAACATATCCTTTAAAATCCAAGGCAATATACAGAAGATAAAAGTAAGAATCACTTGACCTCTATTCTTTGAGAACCAGCATTCTTCTAAGCATATGCTATTTTTGAAGTATTTATATTTAAAACTGGGAATATACTTGCCAGAATATCTGTCAGCAAACGATAATCTTCTATTTCACCCTTCTCAGGATTGCTTTTGGTGACCAATCCTATTGCTACACCTGCAACAGCAGATGAAATTGGAACCCCTAGAAGTGAGAAAAGATAATTTTGTGTAATGTGTATATCAACCTAACACATATTTATTTATTCTGTTGACATTTATTTTAATGAAAGGGGATGATGTTTCCTAAATAGACAATCATGAGAGCTAAGTTGGAAAGGTCTTAACAGATCCTCTAACTACCTCATTTCTTATGGAAACTATAATAAAGTCCCTTAAAACAACTTTAAGAGGTAATCCTATATTTGGCATAAACCTTTATCAAAATTGCAAACTTTATAACTCAAATGACTCATTGCTTTTGGTGTCTTCTTTTTGTTGAAAAATAAGCATATATTTGGTGTGTTCTTCTAGCCTGAACCCCTCATTGGCACCATTGATAGAACCTCCCAGAAAATTTCTGTGCACAAGTATAAATGTAAACATAATTTTAAAAAAAGGTTTTTTGTAGTTGTAGATGAACAGAATGCCTTTATTTTCATGTGGTGCTAAGGATCAAACCCAGTGTCTCACACATGCTAGGCAAGTACTCTACCACTGCTACAGCCCCAGCCCTAAATTTTTATTTTCTTTACTCATGGGAGCAAGGTATAGGCATTTGTTACTCTGCACATACCCTTTTTTAATTAACAACTTATCTTGGATAATGATTCATTTCACTAACAAAGCTCTACTTTATTTCTTTGAATGACTGCATACTACTCATCATATATATTTTTTCCACATGTTCCATATATTTTTATAAGTCATAAACAGAAATAAAATTGCTGAATTAAAAGATATTTGTAGGGCTGGGGTTGTGGCTCAGTGGTAGAGTGATAATGGTCTTAAGGAGATAAGGTTGGACAGTGCCTTGCATGTGTGAGGCACTGGGTTCAACTCTCAGCACCACATACAAATAAATAAAATAAAGGTCCATCCACAAATAAAAAATATTTTAAAAAAAAGTATTTGTATTTTATACTTGCTATACTGTCACATTATGTATAAAAGGATACATGCTATCCTAAATTGTACCTAACTCTTGTTACACTTTTTGATCCCTGTCAACCTAAGGAGCAAAAATGGTTACTTATTTTTAAATTTGATTTGTTTTTAATAAGTGTGGTTGAACACATGCATGTTTGTAAGCCTACTTACATATCTTATTTTGAAGAATTGCCTGTTTATGGTCTTCAACCACTTTTTACATAGTAATCTTTTCCTGTTTTGTTTGTTCATTTTGTTTATAGTGACTTTTTTCTGGGTAGAATTTTAAAAATTTATGTAATCCTGGCTCCTGGATTTTGCTTAAAAAGGCATTCGTCTCTAAGATTTTGATAAAATCTTATTTCATTAAAAAAAAGTATGTTTTTATTACTTGTAACTTATTTTTAGCATAAAGGAATGTGATTAAAAAAACCTTAAAGGTACAAAAAGATGAAAAGATATTAGCAATTCAAAGAAATAATACAAATGTGTACAGGACACACAGGGAATAAATAATGAACTAGGGGGATGTGGCTCAAGCGGTAGCACGCTCGCCTGGCATGCGTGCGGCCTGGGTTCGATCCTCAGCACCACATACAAACAAAGATGTTGTGTCTGCCAAAAACTAAAAAATAAATATTAAAAATTCTCTCTCTCTCTCTCGCTCACACGTCTCTCTTTAAAAAAAAAAAAAATAATGAACTAGGTTGAAGGTAACTGACTCAGAGAAACTCTCATCTCATTTGGATGAGAAATGGAAGCTCCATAAAAACAAGGGCTATTTTATTAATAACCATGTCCCATCTGGTTTTAAAGACTGTGCAATGTTATGAAACAGTATAGTATGTTTCTAAGTGTACTAATGGTAGAGTGCTTGCCTAGCACAAGGCCTTGGGTTTTTCTACCTTAGTACCACCACAAAAAGGAAAGAAAAAAAAATCTCCTGAAAGAAGATAATGGAGAACTTGAAATATTCTGAATGTCATATTTTGAGTCTGCTTTTTAACTTTTTTTCTTTTGAGTAAGGCCAACTTAGATAATGGCCTTAAGGGGATAAGGTTGGACAATCTAGGAGGTGAAGGGACAGAAAATCTGGAAAGCCAGCAGGGAGATTGCTGCAAAAGAAGAAATGATGTGGACTTGAACTAAAGTAATAGCAATAGGTACTTCAGTAGTTAAGGGAAAGGATATTTTTCTAAAATTTTGGAAGATATGGGCTGGGGATGTGGCTCAAGCGGTAGCGTGCTCGCCTGGCATGCGTGCGGCCCGGGTTCGATCCTCAGCACCACATACAAACAAAGATGTTGTGTCCGCCGAAAACTAAAAAATAAAAATTCTCTCTCTCTTAAAAAAAAAAAAATTCTGGAAGATAAACAGATCTTTGTGACTTTGAGAGAATGTAAGAAATGAGAGAACTGTTGATTCTGGCATGAATGTCATCGTTGCTTTCTACCAAGATGAATACAAAAGGAAAACTATTTAAATTAGAGTGACTCAATTTTAAATGAATTAAAATATATATTATGCTGTGGGGGACGTTAGCTAGAGATGTCCAAGAGGCAGTTTATATGGATCCACGACTTGGCAAAGAGAGCTAGGTTGAAGGGGTAAATATTTAAGTCATAATCATTATAGTGGTAGTTAAAACACTGAATATAGGTGAGATTGCTTAGAATGTCATCCTGAAGTTTTTATCATTACATCACTGCCAGGATGCGTTTTTCTTTAGAACAAAAGATTTGAATTAAAGCTTAAACACAGGGATTCTATCACTGAGCTACATTCCCAGTCGTTTTTTAAATTTTATTTTTAGAAATGGTCTAAGTTGCCAAGGTTAGCCTCAAACTTGTGATCCCTATGCTTTAGCCTCCAGTGTAGCTGGGATTACAGATATATGCCACCATGCCCAGCATGATGTCTCTTATTTTATCTTTTGATTAATCTTTTTCAGAAGTTTTTCTGTTTTCCAATATAATATTTGGATGAGAAATGCAAGCTCCATAAAAGCAAGGGCTATTTTATTAATAAACCACGTCCCAAGAGCTTAGATCAGTGTTTGGCTCACAGCACACAGATTTGTTTAATGCATACATGAAGATGAAAACCAGTAGCAGAATATTACCACCTATCTTGTATATTACATTTTCCTTCAGTGAACACAACTAGAAAAAATTCCTTATGCATTTTTTCTTTTGTTTAGCCTGATCCAAGTTTTAATTTTTCTGAAATATTTCTATTATATATTCATACTATTTCATTTCACCTTTGGTTGTCTTCCTTTCCACCTTTCACATATATACTGTAAATGTGTGAAATTATTAGAGAATTCCTTTGTAGCCTCTTTAGGTTCCTTTCCTTTTTCTTCTTCTTTTTTCCCCCGGGTACTGGGAACTAAATTTAGGGCCTTGTGTATAGTAGGTGAGTACTCTACTGCTGAGCTTCATACATCCCCAGCCCCCCTTTCTTCTTAAATAACATCAGTGGTACCTATATGGTAGAAACTGATAACTAGTTTTGAGAGCATAACATGCCAACTTTTTCTCTTCTAGTATTTCAGACCCAGGATGAACCACTCACATTCTATCTTCCTAAAATTCTATGTACACTTTTGGAGTAGCACAATCTCAAAGGTTACATGTTGACTTTCTCTAAAGGGCCCTAATCCTTCTGTTACTAATCAAAAACTTCTCTGGTGGTTGGAATCAATTCTGGGGCTCTACTTTTTGGAAGGTAAGAAAATTCCCTGGGTCACTGTAATGGTCAATTGAATAGTCAGCTTGATTGGATTAAGAGATGCTGAGGATTAAAAGGCTCAACAGGGTGTCAATGAGGGTACGTCTAGGAATGATTGGCATTTGGGATAGCCAATTGAAATGGAGATCCTTCCTGAGCATGGGCAGCACCATCTAATAGGATGATGAGTTGGATGGAATAAAAGTTGGAAGAACAAGGAAGCAGCAGCAGACGCAAGCTCCATTCTTCTTGAACAGGTTCTTGATTGATGCTGTAATTATCTGAGGATATCCGACTCTCACTTCTTCACTCTTCCGAAGCAGACTCTGCCAGTGATTCTCCAGAAGCCTTCTGTCTTGTACTAGGGTAGGGTAGCACTGTTGATCCCTCTTGTTCTGGGGCATTAGCCTCTTAGAATGTGCTGCTACTGGTTCTTCCAGCTCTCCAGCCTGTAGATGGCCATTGTGAACTATCCAGCTTCTGGTCCCATAAGCCAACCTAATAAGTCCCCTTTTTGTAATTATACTTCCTGTTGATTCGGCTCCTTTAGAGAACCTTGACTAATACAATCACTAAGACAAGTAATTCTCAGTGTACTGCTTTTATCTAAAAATAAGAATTCCAAAAAATATCTGGATATTTGAAGGATTACTTTTGCTACTATCTTACCTTTGGCCTGGCTTGGTAATCTATAATCTGACTTCAAGTCTTACTAAAATTCAGTTTTAAAGGAACCTTATATTTTATGCTAATCAAATTAAGTATAAAGTAATAGCAATTTTGAGACACAATTCTTTTACCTGCATCCATTAATGCCAAACTTCCACCACATGCAGATGCCATAGAAGATGACCCTATCAAAACAAAAGACTTGCTTTATAATATACTGATTTTTTTTTTTTTAAATGTAGAATATTGTTACATTAATGATATCTTTATTTCTTTTTCTCGTTTTTTTGGTACTGAGAATTGAACCTTGGAGGCACTCAACCAGTGAACCACATCCTCAGTCCTTCAAGACAGGGCCCTCACTAAGTTGCTAAGGCTAACCTTGAACTATGACCCTCCTGCCTCAGCCTCTTGAGTTGCTGGAATTACAGGCATGTGTACTTCAATAGTTTCTTTAAAAATATTCAATAGCCTTTTCATCCTACTTTTTTTTTTTTTGGTACCAGGAATTGATCCCAGGGACAGTTAATCTCTGAGCCACATCCCAGACCTTTAAATTTTTTTTTTTCTTTTAAAATTGTGAGATAAGGTCTTGCTAAGTTACTTAGGGCCGCTCTAAGTTGCTAAGGCTGGCTTTGAACTCAGGATCCTCCTGGTTCAGCCTGATTACAGGCATGCACCATGGCACTCAGCTTCTTCCTACTTTTCAGAAGTGGTTAAAATCAAGTTCTTGGGCTGGGATTGTAGCTCAGTGGTAGAGCGCTTGCCTAGCATGTGTGAAGCACTGGGTTTGATTCTCAGTACCACATATAAATAAATAAAATAAAGGTCCATGGACAATTAAAATAAATTCCTAAGCCACCAACTACAGAGTTACATGGCCCAATATAGTAGGTGTTAGCCATGTGTGGCTACTTAGTGTTCCCTGTCTAATGAGTCACTGTATTTTTGCCCCTTTTCTTTCTAAGCTGGCCTTGTTCTATGTTTTGTCAAAAATGAACAAATGACCCATATTGGATTGATTATAACAGATACAAAAAGAAAAATACTTGTCTTACACTGATTTACAAAGAGTTCATTAGCTAAGAACAGAGACTCAAAACAAATAATAGGCTCAAGTTTATGATCAACCAAACACAGTTTTTCATGCAATAGGTTTGGGCCCTGTGGTAATAAACATCTTGTAACATTACTTTTGAAAAGTTAAGAATATAACAGGGAATCTGGTCTTTTCCACTAGGGAAAAAATAATACATACCGTTCGACTCTAAGACTTCAGATGTCACTCTTATGGTAAAAGGAAAATCTTTGGGAATAACAGGATATAAAGCTTTCTCAGCAAGAGCACCTAAGTTAGAATAAAAAACAGTAAGTAAAAAATATATTAAAAACAATAGGCAAAAGTGTACTAAAAAGTCTCTGTAAAAACACCATAAAAGTTTATAGATTATACTCACCATGCCCAAGCTCTCTTCTATTTATGCCAGTGACTTTGCCAATTTCATTAGTTGCATAAGGAGGAAACTTCAAAGAAAACATATATATATAACCAACATGGAAAGATGCCCAAGATACATTACCAAATGAATAAAACAAATTACAAAACAGTAAAATCCCAATTTTTTTTAAAACAAAAGTAGGTTCATTTATGCCAGAACATGTTGGGTATAAATCTAAAATAAACTGCTAAAAGTAGCCATCTGTAGTGTGTAAAACTATGTTCTAGGAAGTGAATGATTATAGAGATAGACAACATAAATTTCCATACTGTTTAATACTAACAATAACAAAGTATCTTTTTGTAATAATAATAAAATATATATATTTAAGAAGTACACATCGAGGAAATAAATATCACTTTGATAAGGGTTTTATTTTACCCAGAGGTTATAAACTGTTTTGTTTTGATAGAAATGTTATCTGCAAGGTATACAAATTAGTTGATCATTTAAAAATTGAAGCTGCCCCATAAAAATCTGAAATTCCAATTTAACAAAAATTTTTAAAAGGATCAATAGGGAGGCTAAGGAAGGAGGATTCTAAGTTCAAGGCCAGCCTCAGCAACTAAAGGAGGCCCTAAGCAACTTACTGAGACTCTGTCTTAAAATAAAACAAACAGCAATAATTCAAGAATCGGATCAAACCCCTGGATCTAGCAGTCAATTTGCAGGAAATAGAGGAGAGAGAGGAATATGCTGACATATACCATGAGTATGCAATCAACAATGCCCAGATCAAATGGCTTTGGACTTTAGTAGATAGATTGTAAAGAAAGTGATGGAGTAGAAATGCACAGATTAAAAGACTTAAAGAAATATCACATATAAGAAAAATTGACAAGTCTAAAGTATCTATGGATATACACTGAAAATGTAAAGAAATGGTTACTATGAAACTCAGGAGAAGGGGCTGGGGATGTGGCTCAAGCAGTAGCGCGCTTGCCTGGCATGCGTGCGGCCCGGGTTCGATCCTTAGCACCACATACAAACAAAGATGTGTCTGCCGAAAACTAAAAAATAAATATTAAAAAAAATTCTCTCTCTCTCTTTAAAAAAACAAATAAAAATAAAAAAATAAAACTTAGGAGGACAGTTGGTACTTTTAGGGGAAAATGGTTGTTGAGACTGGGATGAAAAACATGGGGAAGATTCAGAGGTGGCTGGTGATATATTCCCTGACTTGAGTGGTTGTTAAAAGGGTGTTTGCCTTGTAAAAACTCACTGTCATCTTCTGTTTTATATGGTTTACAGAGGGTCTTAAAAATGGAATAATATGGCAATAATAGCCCATTTCTTTTCTGGCTTCCCCTTTCATCCTGTTCCACAGTTAAAAACCAGAGATGCATTTTCCACAACTGTCCTTTCTAGATTATCACATGCTCACTAGTTAATGACAAAGGATGTGCTTTATTCAATTATAATTCCTCTCTGGCTTTCTGTAGCTTCTGGATATATCTAGAACAGTGTATTTTTAAGGGATTCAGACCAGTGATAATCTTCCGGTTCATTGCTATTTGCAGCAAATACTTTCTATATAATATATTCTGTATTTTTGTTACTGGGGATTGAACCCAGGGGTACTCCACCACTGAATTATATCCCCAGTCCTTCTTTATTTTATGACAAGGTCTCAGTAGAGCACAGTGGCACATGCCTATAATCTCAGCAACTCAGGAGGTTGAGACCCTGTAACAAAATAAAAAATAAAAAGGGTTGGGGATGTAGCTTAGTGGTAGAGCATCCCTAGGTTCAATTCCCAGTACCAAAAAAAAAAAAGACAGGGTCTTGCTAAATTGCTGAGGCTGGCCTTGAATTTACAATCTTCCTATCTCAGCCTCCTGAGTTGCTGGGATTACATTTACGGGTCACTGTGCCCGGCTATAATATGTTCTCTATTGATTATAGCAGGTTTGCCTAAGGTGAAATATTGGGATTCTAGGCAGTCAACAGTGTTATCCAAAAGTGAAGTAACTTATTACTTTATACTAGCTTCCCATAGCATATACCTCAAGTAATAAAATCAAAGAATTATATTTTATATCTAGTCCCTTAGAATTAGTTGTAAAGATCAATCACAAACTTAATCATATATAATGACTTCATATAAAGAACAATGTTAATTACCTTAGATCATTTACTCATCAACTAAGTAAACATGAACATTTAAATGAGCTAATGGGATTGGGTGATTTTTTAAATCAAATTTGAAATGCTCCACTTTTGTTTGACACACGTTAGGTATAACTCTCTTACCTAAAACAGCACTGTCTAATAATATACTTTCACTTTTATGTATGACTCAGAATAAGAAGTTACTGTACTATCTTCTGTATGCAATAAAATAGCCCCTAAAGTAACTTAACAAATGTATGATAAAATGTTAATGGGATAATTTAGGTAGTAAAGATAAGAAAATTCACTGCAAAATTCTTTCAATGGTGCTGTATCCTAGAAATTTTCCACAATTAATGTTGGGGAAAAAATTCACCTTACCTCATAGTGTAGCATGAAATTTTTGTCTTTTATCCCACTATAAACAAAAAGCATAATATTAAAAACATTATAGGGATAAATTTATTTCATTAAATAAATTTCAATATATTTATTTCAATAGACAACTAAAAAAAAAAGATTTAAGAGCATCTGAAAAAAACCTGGATATTAATGAGAGTTGGTTGAAACAGAAAACATGAAGAATTAGATGAACGAGAGAGGATATATAAGTGTGTGTGTGTATAAAATATATACATATTTTTTTCTCCTTCTTTTGAGATAGGGTCTTGCTATGTTGTCCAGGTGGGTCGTGAACTTCCAGAGCTCAAGAGACCCTCCTGCCTCAGACTCCCAAGTATCTGAGAGATGGTATTTTTTTCCCTGTGACTTATGAATTAATTCTACAAGTACTCAGGAAAACGATTTTGCTTCAAATACCCTTAAATATTAGGTTTGAATAGTATGGAAGAAGACATATATTTTTAAACATTAGTAATAACTGAGAGAATATTAAATGCTATAAAACACAATAGTTCAATCTCAGAATTATAATCTTTCTCTTCTTAGTCACCCTGCAAAATGAAAATTGGTAACTAAAATGATATAACACAACAACCAGAAGATCTGTCAGGCAAACACAAACATCTTTTCAGGGTTGGGAAAAAGAACTACTGTCAAAATATCTGGAAAAATGGTAAAAAAATAAGGATGAGAAGAAACAATTCCTGGAGGTAGGAAACTAGGTTTATTATGAATAGTCACATAGTAGGGTCAAAGAACAGATGATGCCCACTTTGCGTAGAATAAGCAAAACACACTTATCTGTGTAGAAATCACTGGCCCATTTTACAAAAAAAAAAAGGAAACCAAAGGCCAGATGGATGAGTGATGTGTGTTCCCTCATTTATACAATTATAGATGTAAGACTAGAATATATAGAAAAGAGAAAGGAGTCAAAAGTGAAAAAGTGCAGGGCAACCCAGTTTGGGCTCAAATATTTGATAAAATATAGACTAATTATTAGGATGAACATTCCAGCCTTATATATAATTTTTGTCAGATACAAAAAAAAAAAAAAACCAACTAGAGTAACTCCTGAAATACTAGAGATTATCCTTGTTAGTAGGGCAGTAAGAAGAGGAAAGCAAGGAAGCAGGCTTTCCCTATTAGCCAATGAGGAAAGAAAGTAGTTCCAGGACTCTGAAGTGGTGGTGCTGTAGGGCTTGATCATCTAATAGTGACTGACGTGATTTTACTACTGATGTTTTAGAAACAGGAGGAGAGCCAGTATTTCTGAACACAAAATCACAATGTGGCTTGGATTACATTTTTCATTAACAGCCTCCAGATTATTCTCAGCAACTGGGACTTTTGCCAATTTATTTGTTCTCTAATTTAAAATAGAAAAACTAATCCATTCAAAATTACCTAGAAAATCGGTTGTGAGGAATGATTCTAGAGGCAGAGAATAATCTAAATGTATTCACATTAAATAATTAAGTTTGTTCCAATTACGTGTTCAAAACCAATAATTTAGAAGAAAATACAACACATGCACACACAAATTCCTTGAAATTCTGACTTCATAAACAGAATAAAGTACAGAGATACTGGTTAAAAAAGTAATAATGACTAATAATATAACACATGAGCTTTAATTCTTTATAGGAACATCACAAAATAACACTGGAAAAACATAACTTACTTTATTGCTGTTATAATTCGGTCTGATTTAATACTAGATTCTAATGAATCAAACGTAACAGTACAAAGCACCTAAAAAAGAAGGAAAAATTTCTTGGGCTTTAATGCACTAATGACAAAGATAAAAACAACAACAAAAATACACATTTTGTGTTTTGGGGGGTCTTTGTGCATCCTCTACTGCTGAGCTACACCCTTAGCTCAAAAATAAAAGTGAAGAACCCAATTAACTTTTTCAAAAAAAGGTAATAAATACATTCTATACAATACTGGCCATGACACTTAATATAGTAAATACTTATTCATTCTCTGTATATTCAAACTGTATGTAAAACTGAATAATCCAAAGGTCTAACATCATCATATAGACTACATATATAAAACACACAACTTAGGCATGTTAGGGAGGAAGAAGGAAGAAGAAAGAAGGAATATTTTAAAAAACTATGTACTAGTCCAAAGAAGCCTCAACAAAGGTGCAATCAATGAAACAGACTGCTTAAAAAAAAAAAAAAAAAGTCAATCTTCTTTGGAGGAATATAACATAATTCAGAAATGCTACAATGCATCATTAACAGGTTCAGGATACATTCTAAAGAAACAGGAAACAAGGCCCAATCTCAAGACAAAAGATACAGAATGGAGACTGATTTTAGTTAAGATGTTAGATTAGCAGGGCAGGTGTAAGGGTACATATCTATAATCCCAGCCTCTTAAGGAGGCAGAAGGATCACAAGTTCAGGGCTAGTGGAGGAAATTTAGTGAGACCCTGTCTCAAAAAATAAAAGGGGCTGGGGATGTAGCTCAGTGGTAAAGTGCCCCTGGGTTTCACCCCTAGTATCAAAAAACCAAAAAAACAAAACAACAACAATAACAACAACAACAAAAAATACAAAAAACAACACCACCATCATCAACAACAAAACAGGAGACTGATAAAAGACTTTCAACAGCTCTAATAATTATACTGAAGGACATAAAGAATTAACAGAAGCTGGGCATGGTGGTACATGCCTGTAATCCCAGAGGCTTGGGAGGCTAAGGCAAGAGAATCAAAACTTCAAAGCGAGTCTCATCAACTTAGTAAGGTCCTAAGCAACTTAGCAAGACCCTGTCTCAAATTAAAAAATAAAAAAATAAATTAAAAAAAAAAATACAGGCTGGGGATGTGGCTTAGTGATTAAGTGCCTCTGGGTACAATCCCTGGTATAAAACAAAGCAAAACAAAACAAAAACCAAAAATTCTAGAACTGAAAAATGTATTACTTCATAATTGAAAGGAGATGAAAAGTCAATGAACATGAAGATAGATTAATAGAAATTGCCCAAGTGGCTAGGGGTGTAGCTAGTGGTAGAGCACTTGCCTCACATGTGCAAGACCCCGATTTCCATCCCTAGTAACACTACCACAAGAAAAAAAAAAAAAGCCCAATTTGAAGAAGAAGGGGAAAAATACACATTCTCAGAGACCTATGGTATAATATCAAACAGACTATCATAGTGTATATGTAATCCCAGAAGGAGAGAAAAAGAGAATAAGGAATAAAAAATAGTAGTTCAAATATTTCAAGCTTGGCAAAAAAAAAAGATAAAAAATTATGGATTCAAGCTTAAAATTCTAAGCAAGATAAATCCAAAGAAAATTTTGCATGGTCATACTGCTAAAAACCAAAGACAAAGAGCAAATCTTGAATGTGCCCATTTGAAAACAATAAATAACATGCAAGAAACAGGGATTTAAATGAGTTCTTTCTTTTTCGATACTGGGGATTTAGTCTACAGGTGCTTTACTACTGAATTACATAAGTTCAATCACATCATAATTAAACTAAACACAGATTGGATAAGTATCCAGTTAAAAGACAGACTATCAGAATAAATAACAAAAGAATGAATAATACTAGAGATACCTTAAAAATGTTATTAAAGAGCATAAAAGAAAACTTGAATTAAGACTGATTTGAATTGTAAAAAATGTCATTTCTCTTAGAATTAACAGGTTAAATTCAGTGCAATTCCAATAAAAAACCCAAGGACTTTTTTTTTCTTTTGAGAATGTGATATAATTCAAAATTCAAACGAAGGAACAAATCTGCTTGAATAGCTTAAGACAATTTTGAGGGAGGAGGAAGCAAAAACGGCAAGATTTGCTTAAGACATTTATATAAACTCCAAGACCACTATAATTAAAATAATTTGACACTGGCCCAGGAAATTCACAAAATAATAGAACAGAACATAGTTTAAAAGTTAATAGAAAAAATAAAAAAGGAGACGCATAAATTTTGACTCTGAGGTAAAATATGATTCTTTTTTCTTTTTGCAGTACTAGCTATTGAACCCAGGGGTGCTTTACCACTGACCAGTAAGCTATATCTCCAGTCCTTTTTTAAAATTTTGAGGCAGGGTCTTACTAAGTTGCCTAGGCTGGCCTTGATCTTGTGATCCTTGTACTTGAGCCTCCCAAGTCACTGGGATTATAGGTAGGCACCACGGCTCCCAACAAGAAACGATTCTTTAATAAAACTTTAAAAATAGAAGTAATGAAAGTGAAAATGACAAAGATTAACTACATCAAAACTAAAAGTTTCAGGTTTTTTCTACATGTAGAGAAGGGTATCAAGCAAAATTAAAAAGCAAACAACAAAGAACATCTACATAAAGTTTGGTTTGTTACTAGAATAGATTAATGTTTAAAACACAAAAGAGATTACTGCAAAATAGAAGGTAAAATACAGGCCATATTAAAAATAGAAAAAAAAATTTGGTCAAAGGCCAAGGACAGGAAATTCACAAAACAGCACACCTGAAGCAAGGGCACCACATTTTACAACTCTAGGGACAGTGCACTTGAGGCGCACAGTCCCCCAGGGTATGGTTTACACAGTGACTATGTTCATTGGTTATATCGAAATTCTGAGTCTTACTAGTAAACAGGGAAATACAAATTAAAACATCATGATACTATTTTTTAATACCTTTCTGACTGGTAAAATTAGTTACTAATGTGAATAATTTTTAAGAAAGAGGTAGACGGCATAATACCATACACAGAACAATGGGTACATGTGTTGGTTTAAATAAATTAACTGCTGGCAAACTATGTGAAATATAAGGGAGTATCTATGTAAAGAAAAAGAATGGGGCTGAGGTGAAGGCTAATGGAGAAAACAAATGAGGGCCATGATCAGACCCCAAACAATAACATGCCATAAACTGAGGAGTATGAGTAACTCAATTTTGTGCACTTAAAATAAAAATATAATAAAAATACCTAATAATTTACAACATGCCAATTATAGTAACAAAAGCAGATCAGCAGTTGTATAGAGGAAACAGGAAGAAGGGATTAAAAACAGGCAAGAAACTTTTGGGTGTGATTGCTATGTTCATCATCTTGACTATGGCAATCTAAAAACTTAGGCAATCATACACTTAAAACATATATAATTTACAGGATAGAAATGATACCTCAAAAAACTCTTAAGCCAGGTACAGTGGCATACACATGGCCAGTAATCCCAGTAATCTGGCAGGCCGAGGCAGGAGGATTGCAAGTACATGACAGCTTTAGCAACTTAGTGATATCCTGTCTCAAAATAAAAAATAAAAAAGGCTGGGATATAGCTCAATGGTAAAGTGCCCCAGGGTTCAATTTTTAATATAGAAAACCAAACCAAACCAAAACAAAAAACCTGTTAAAATCATATTTTAAAAAATCCGACATTAATCTGAATAATATATTCCATATAATGAAAATTATAGCATCTATAAAATGTACTTCTAGATCTAATTAAACATTCCTAATTCAGCATGTAGTTTTTTAAAACATGTATTACCTGTGTTTGTCCCCTTTGAAATAATGCTGATCCATGAAGAGTTTTAAACATATCTACCTCACAACTTATATTCCTAAGTGAAGTCAAATCGCGTCCATCACACCTATAGTCATAAATAAAATAAGTAGTAAAGCTGTGTTGGAAGTCAGAAAAATCACATAACATTTCTTTATCTCTACCAAGAAGTTCAACTCCAGCTGCATATCATAAAACACTGTGGATCTTTAAAAAACAATACAAATACCTGGGCTCCATCCTAAATCCCACCGAATCAAAACGTCTGGGGTTGTGGCCTATGTAACTGTTTTGTTAGTACTGTTACTGCACATCTGCAGGTAACTGTGATGTTCAGGCAAGGCTGTGAAGCATGGCTGGACACACAAAGCCCAAGAGAGTCACATATCCACATATTCTTTCTTTGATACAATTTACACAATAACTATTATTCTTTACTTTCCACTTAAAAATCAGTTCCTTCCTTTGAGTAAACAGCCACTTTCAAGGTAACTTGCAGAAACAGTACATACTTCACTTCTATTAAGAGGGTATGTTTACCTTTTGTATTCATTCAAAATAATACTTCTGAAAACCTCCTTCGCAACAACATTGAAGGATTCTATTATTTCATATGGATCGACATCTGGAAATGTTTCTGGAGGAAAAAAAAGAAAGAAATCAAAACAAAGGTTTTCTTTTCTGAAAGGCAGATTTCTCCAAAGTTCACAGAATCAAATCAATTACTAAGGGAGTAAGCCAAGGGGGTTGACTGAGTATTTGGTCCTCAGGCAAACAAAAGTAGATAAATCAAATGTTCTCAAGCAAGTGAGACTCACCAAATATTAATCCCTTAAACGTGTTGTGATTGGGAACTTAGTTAGCTTATATCATGTCACCTGATACACCGAGTCAACCATATTGTTAAAAGGTTTAACTGACAATATTAAGAGTAGTCATCCCACTCTTTTTTGCCTTGAGAACTTTTACTTAATCTTCTAATTAAGAAATAATTTTCTTTATATATTACAAATTCCAAACAACAAGTTTTTCAGTTAACATTACCAAGTGCTTTCATATAGACACTTCACAAGTTGCTTTTTAAAAATGCCTTTAATCTTCATAACAATTTATGAGGTAAATTTATTATTATCCCTTTTTACAGAAGAAAAAGCTAAGGCTTGAGGAAGTAAACTGCCTGAGATAACACAGACATAACTATTACAGCTGTGACCTGAATATAGATCTGTCTGCCTCAATGGCTTATGCTTTTAAATATTGTTATTTTACTTCATTAATTTCCTTGTCTCTCCTTCCATCTCTTTTTTTAAAAAATATTTTTCTAGTTATAGTTGGGCACAATACCTTTATTTTATTTGTTTATTTTTATGTGGTGCTGAGGATTGAACCCAGCGCCTTGCACGTGCTAGGAGAGCGCTCTACCGCTGAGCCACAACCCTAGCCCTCTCTCTTTTTTTGAGATGTTGCCCAGGCTGGGTTCAAACTCATGATTCTCTTGCCTCAGCCTAGTTGGGATTATAGGTGTGCACTGCCATTTCTGGCTATATCAAATATTAGGTACTGTTCTCTCAAGTCTTTGATTTACTAAATAAATGTATAACTTTAAAGTAAACTGAACATAAGAAATGGCAATAAAAAAAGAGATAATATATTAAGTATCCTATCTCATCAGGCAAGAATAACTTTTAATATTATACTTCAATATGAATTTTTATGCTTTAACTGGGTTGAACATGGAAAGAATAAGTAACAAAATACTTACAATGTTATACTACCAATTCAGAAAATAATGACATATAATACAAAAAAAAAACTCATAAAACCTTTCTTTTTAAATAAGATAACATGAATTATACAGCTTTTCATTCTTAAAAACAAGATGAAATGTAGTGACAAAAGACTAAGTATTTCAGTGATTAATACAGATAATGGCATTAATATCATAGCTAATAGCAGAGTTTTAAAATAAGATACACACTCTTGTGAGAGAATGTCAGTGAAAAAATTAACAAGAACTCTCACACTTCCTTTGTATTCAGTTTATATGAGATTGATTATGTGCCAGGTACAAATGTAAATGATTTACTCATTTAATCTTCATAGACCAGGTATTACTGGTACTGCAGTTTCACAGATCAAACAGGAATTTTCAAAGCTATATTTTAGGGTTTCAAATGACAGGACGCAATGCTATCCATTTTAGAGGAAAAATATGACACAGAAAAGATACAAACATTTCATGTTCAATATTTACTAGGTGCTTACTCTGTATTAATTGTTGTGTTAGCTATATTTATAGAAATTAGTTTAACCCTGTGATGTTTCATTATCACAAATTTACTTAAGATAAAACCAAGGAGCAATGAGAATAACTGACTTTTTCTGAGAAATTTTTACCAATGACTGAAAAAAAACCAAAACTATATTATTTCCTTCAATTTTTTTCCAATTGAAAAAACAGAATTCACCCTTTAGTTGTTCCTCTGTATCTAATCTTATCTTGTTAACAGCTTCATCTCTGGAAATCTAAAAGAAAGTTAAGGTTCAGTTATTATATAAAACATGATAACATTTAACATTTCTATTTTTATATTGTAAGGGTACTCATATTTTTCTAATGACAATATTCTTTAAGAGATTAGATCTTGTCATTGATTTTTAAGAAATACTATTTGTTTTTCATTCAAATGTATTTGCAGACTTCCCTAAAAGTTGTATTAATTAATAATAGAAGAATGGAGAAGCAGACAGGTAAGCTTTTACTCAAGACTTTTGGCTGGAGATTTTTAATAAAAATAGGATAACAATTCATAAACAAAACTACATGAGTTATGACAAAAAATAATACTGGAACAATTGTACAAGACAAACTTCAGGTATACCTACTTTATCATGTTCATAATTTGTAAAAACTGCATAGAGTTTCTCCATGGCAAGTCTTTTTAAAATAGAAAATAAATGTTAGCATAATAATATTTGAAACAAGAGTTAATTTCTATTATTAGTGAAACAAATACTTAGTAAACTACAAATTATTTATAAACATTTCATTAAGAATTAAAAATATGGACATACTATTGTTTATCACTGCTAATCTGTCTACTACTTATGATATGGGAACACAAAAATCTTTACCTTTCAAGGCAAATCACTTATACATGTACTATGCTCCCCCTGCTTTGTCTTTAATTTTTTAATTAATTCCACCTGAGACTTATTCATGTGTGCCAGGCACTGTTCTAAATACTAGGCAAATAGTAGTAGTTTATACTTGATTTCTTTTTGAGAAATTCAACAATTTCCTAGATATTCAAATATCTATGCTTATTCTCTTTTTCCTGTCTGGGCACAGAGAGATACAGGAATTTTGTATATCTTGATAAAAGAAGTGTCTCTCCCACATTTAAGATTTCTCCTGGAAGAGCATGGGTTTTTCCTGTTTTAGACATTGGACAGGAATTTAGAGGATCAATATCTAAATCAGAAAAGTGTTATTTCTGAAGTAATGTATGGGTAGTGCTTCCATGCAAATTTTTTCCTTAAAGGAAATTAAATCTGGTGACAATCTGATATTTTGTGGTACAGATGTTCTTACTTATGAACATATTTCACAATCTCTTGTGAAGGGGTAAATATCTTCTGAGGTGTCCTCTTGGTAACACCAATTTCTTTCACCAACTGCTGGATGCCCTGAATTATTTGTTGGGTGTGTTTTACTCCCACTTTGATAGCATGGCAAAAGTCTTGCTGTAAAATGTTCTCTGCAGAGGCTTCCAACATGACTAAGAAAAACAAAAACAAAAGATGATAATTGTCATTGAAATGTTTATCAATACAGCATTTCAAGTACCATGATGTGACAAACAATACAGATCAATTTCATTCTGTGGTGATATATACACTTTAAAAAATTTCTTTCCTTAGAGTCAACCTACTTCCAAAATATGTACAATAGATGAATAAAGAAGTCTTGACATTTAAGTTTATATTCTCCTAAAATTTAATGAGGAATTTCCTATCCAAACCGAAACAGAAGCTGGGCATGGTGGTACACATCTGTAATCCCAGTGACTCAGGAGGCTGAGGCAGGAGCTTTACAAGTTCAAAGCCAGCCTCCACAAGTTATTAAGGCCCTGAGCAATTTAGTAAGATCCTATCTCAAAGTAAAAATTAAAAAGAGCTGGGAATGTGGCTCAGTGTTGAATCCCCATTACCAGAGGGGATTCAATCCCTATTACCGGGGGGAAAAAAGAAAAAGAAAATAAAAAACTTAGTAACTTTAGTATTAGCTTTATTAACAAAACTCAATCTTTCAAAGTATACAATAGCATTTACTTTTAATGTACATTTTTAAGTTAAATTTAAAAACATATAACATACTAGGTAACCAATAAATGTTTACCGTTTAACAATTATTTGAAGTGACCTCCTACTTAATTCTGACTCCTCACATTGTCTAATTCTTCCACAGGTGGGAAAATGAATGGGCTTCTACCATGTTATGATGTATTTAAATTTGCCATTCAGCCCTGGCTTTGCATTCTGAAAAGCTAAACAGCCTCCTGGCTAATAGTGTTATCAATTCTGGTGGCTTTCAACTTGTATAAAGTCAAAGATCATGAAAATGCATAGACATGTCTCATAGACATATCTCATATATTTAACCACATCATGTTATCATTAAGATTTATTATCCAAATCATTGCTTTTAAGATATTAAAAAAATATTTATGTACTTTCTTTCTTTTTTTGAGGGGGTGGGGGGGAGATACCAAGGATTGAAGTCAGGGGCACTCAACCACTGAGCCACATCCCAGCCCTATTTTATATTTTATTTAGAGACAGGGTCTCACTGAGTTGCTTAGGGCCTTGCTAAGCTGCTGAGGCTGGCTTTGAACTAGAGATCCTCCTGCCTGAGCCTCCCAAGCTGCTGGGATTACAGGTGTGCACCATAGCACCTGGCAAAATCTTTATGTACTTTCTATATAGGAATTTCATCAGTTAATTCAAGTAGAATCCCGTGAAAAGATCAAACATTTGTGTTATCAGAGTCATGGAAGAATAGGAAGGAGGTAAGGCCTTTCAAAAATGCACTGGAAAAAAAAAAAAAAATGGCTGAAAACTCCCCAACTCTGGCATTCATAAACCTAGAGATTTAAGAAGCCGAATAATGGGGCTGGGGATGTGGCTCAAGTGGTAGCACACTCGCCTGGCATACGTGCGGCCCGGGTTCGATCCTCAGCACCACATACAAACAAAGATGTTGTGTCCGCCGAAAACTAAAAAATAAATATTAAAATTCTCTCTCTTAAAAAAAAAAAAAAAAGAATGCAAACCCAAGAAAGGTAGACAGTGATATCGCAAACTTCTATACATGAAAACAATTCAACTAGCAGATCATCATCAGAAACCATGGAGGCCAGAAGGAAGTAGTTCACATTTTACAGGTGCTGAAAGAAAAGAATTGGCAACCCAGAATCATATACCCAGTGAAAATATTTAGGAGTTGAGTTTTGGGAAGAGAGGAAATTAAGATTCTCAAAAAAAACGAGAACCAAGAAAATTTGGTGCCAGCAGACCTACCCTAAGAAAATAGTAATAATGTTGTGTCCATTTACACCTAAAAAATAAATATTAAAAAAAAGAAAGAAGAAAAAGAACATGGCAAACAAAAATAAGGATAAATAAAATAGGCTTTCTTGAGTTTTCTAAATCATGTTTGTTGGTTTAAGCAAAAGCAAAACTAGTAACACTGACTGATGTAGTGTTCTGAATGTAGAGGAACATTAAAACAATTGTATTACAAGTCAGGGAGGGCCAGATAGGGAAAGATTTCAATTCTTCACTCCAGGCATGAAAAAGCTTCCTCTGATGTCATGATAGTGAGATGGTCACACCTTTTTCTCATCTGTACTTCTAAAACATCCTCTCATTTTCATAGAATTTAATTGGAGATAGAAAAAATATAATGCATTCAATATATTTTTTCCACTTATTGATTTTTTATTTTATTTTTTTGCATTCAATATATTTAAGTTCTATCTCAATAAATTTATTTAAAAATAAAATTTGCAAAGGAAAATACTCATCAAATAAATTTTGTTTTCACTAATTAAGCCTTAAAGCAATTCCTTTTTGACTTCCCTGTACTATCTTTTTGTTTTTCCATTTTTTTATTGGTGCATTATAGTTGTTTATATTAATGGGATTTATGGTTACATATTTGTACACGCACACAAAATAACAATACATTTTGGCCAATATTCCTCCCCAGCACTTCCCTCCTCTCTCCCTTCCTCCCACCCCCTGGTCCCTTTCCTTTAACTGATCTCTCTTTGATTTATAGGAGATCCACTCCCACCTTTGTTTTCTTTTCCTCTCTAGATTCTGCTTGAGCGAAAACATACAACCCTTAACCTTATTTTGCTTAACATGATTGTCTCTGGTTCCAGAGTTTTCCTGCAAATGCCAAAATTTCATTTTTCTTTATGGCTGAATAAAACTCTATTGTGTATATATACCATATTTTCTTTTCCCATTCATCTGTTGATGGATACCTAGGCTGGGTCCATAATTTGGCTATTGTGAATTGTGCTGCTATGAACATTGGGTATGCATGTTTCACTGCCATAAGATGACTTTAATTCTTCATGATAAATACTGAGAAGTGGTATAACTGGGTCATAATATGGTGGGGTGGTTTAATGCCTAGTCTTCTAAGGAGCTTCCACACTGGTTGCCATAGTGATTGTATTAATTTAGAATTCCACCAACAGTGTAAAGTGTTCTTTTTTCTCCAGATCCTGTCTAGCATTTTAACTGTTTGTATGCTTGATGACTGTTATTCTGACTGGTAAGAGATGAAATTTCAGCATAGTTTTGATTTGTATTTCCCTAATTGCTAATGCTATTGAACATTTTTTCATGTATTTGTTGGCCATTTTGAGAAGGTTCTGTTTAATTCATTCACCCATTTATTAATTGGGTTATTTGACTTTTTGGTATAGTTTTTTGAGGTGTTTAGATTATATAATCTAGATATTAATCCTCTGTTGAAAGAGTACCTAGCAAATATTTTCTCTCATTCTGTGGGTTCTATCTTCACAATCCTAATTGTTTCCTTTGCTGTACAGAAGCTTTTTAATTTGATGCCATCCCATTTATTAGCTCTTGGCATTATTTCCTGAGCTTTAGGGGTCCAAAGCAATTCCTTTTAAAAAAATGCTTTAAAGGACAATTTCTGATAGTTCTGGATCCACAGACCTGTGCTGTTCAACATGGTAACTACTAGTCACATATGGCTATTTGCACTTAATTTAATTAAAATTATACAAAATAAAAAATTTGTTTGCCCACTCTAGCCACCTTGCAACTACTCATTAGCTATCTGCTCAGATAGGAAATATTTCCTTCACTGCAGACTATTCTACTGAACATTGTCACAAATAAAAAAAAATTAAATTAAAAACTTTGTTAAAATGATTATTTTAAGCCATTAACTATTTTTAGTAACTGAAGATGAAGGAATTGTAGGATTAACTAAAGTTATGAATTTGAGACACAGAATCTAAAAACATGGTGTTGCTATACTTTTCCCTGAGTTATATCCTATCACACACAGAATGATAAGTAATATCAAATGTACCAGTTTAAAAACAAGCACCCAAAAGGTACTGTGCAGAAAATTGGTTAAAGATTTGGACTACTACATATTTAGTACTGATATGGTAGCAATTACTATTATTTGTATCCCAGAAGTTTCATGATGGCGGTATTAATCATAATGCATGAAAAAGGGGTCAAAATACATATCTGGTATACTTTACAAAAGCAAAAAGCTGGCTGAATATCTTTATGGAAATAGTGTGTGAAAGTCAAAAAATGTAGGTTGGTAATTCTTGAAGCTAGTTACAGGTTGGTTCTGAATTATCCTCGGCCTCTCCTAATTATTTAAAACTACCCTCTGAGGTTCACTTAGCCTCTAGAGTCTCATTCTTCCATCTAGGGAGCAAAAGGTGAGAACAGCTAGCTCAAAGGCTGCTTATGGTGTTTCCACAGCACACCATAGATGCCACAAAGATCCTTTGTTCTTCCTCCAAGGTTTACTAAAATTAGAGTGGATCAACTCTAATATAGATTGGGATTATAATAACAATTAGAAACAGGTTTTTTTTTTTTAATCTTAATGACAATAGCAGGTATTAACTTTATTATGCTTATTAGAAACACTACTTGTCATTTTGCAAACCTTGACTTCTGTCTTCAACTATCCTGTAAAGTAACTGGATCAATTTACTAACTGAAAGTAAATGAAAAACACAACTTTAAAGAAAAAAATTCAGATGCAGATCAAGCGAACTTTAAACAGTTAACAAGTACTTTCATGGAGGCTCTTTTCAAGATGCTCATTTATAATGTAGGGATCATCTGTTACTCATGGCTTTCCTAAATTTTGGAATACTCTCTTTACATTAGTATAGTTCCTGGTGGTATAAATCCCACTCTCTGAAGTTAAAATTCAAAAAACATGTCCTTGCCTTTTCTGCAATCAATGATGTGCCACAGTTATGCCCAATGAGATGTAAAAGAAACTGCTGGGTGGGGATGTCTGGGAAAACACCTTACAAGGCAGGGTGACTCAGTCAGCGGTCACATGGCTTTCTGCTATTCCACTCTTTGATCTTCCTCCTGCCTATACACAGATTAAGCTGGCAAGAGCTCTGGCAGTAAGATTGTTAAGTATGAAGATGAGGCCACACCTTGAAGGTAGCAGAGCAGAAAGTCAGAAGGAGACTGGATTTCTTAAGACAACATGGAGCCACCATCACTGTCTTGGACTCACCAACTCTAAATTTCTTTTACCTGAGAGAAAAATAAATTTCCATCTTGTTTAAGCCTTGTTATTTGGTTTAACAACACAAGCTAATAATGTGGATAGCATACAATTCCTATGTGTTTTGTCTATCATACAGTGCCTACTTCTACTTCATTACTGACCAACATAACAGTAGCTAGAAATGAGGTGTTTCACGCATTTATACAAAAAAGTACTAAAAATTTAGTAGTTTATGTTTCATCAAAATGTTGCCACATCAGAGGCTGGGCGCAGTGGTACATGGCTGTAATCCCAGAAGTTTGGGAGGCTGAGAAAGGAGGATCTTGAGTTCAAAGCCAGTTTCAGCAACTGCGAGGTGCTAAGCAACTCAGTGAGACCCTGTCTCTAAATAAAATACAAAATAGGGCTAGGGATATGGCTCAGTGGCTGAGTGCCCCTGAGTTCAATCCGGAGTACCCCCCCAAAAAAAGTAGCCACATCAGAAGATGCAATGTCAAAAAGTCCAGAGACATCAAAAGTTCTATAGCAGAATAAATGGATAAGGTTTCTAATTTGTTCAAAGTCAAATGATTATAGTGGTAAAGGAAGATTTCAAACCCAAGTCATTCTAACTGCTAAAGTCTATTCTCCTTCCATAGACTAGAACAAGGCCAAAATTTTCATTCATGCAATTAATGACATTTTTATTACAGGAAATAAGTGAAAGTGACTCATTGTTAGTGTATTTCTTCTACTTTATTACTGGTTTTCCATTTACTAGATGTCCTTAGAGGACATCAAGGAAGCTTTACGATGGCTGAATTGTTTAAATGAAAATATTTAAACCAATAAAACAATAATTTGTTACCAGATTTAAAACTTCTATTTTTAGGTTAAGCTATCAGTTTAAAAATAATTTAGTCTAAAAATAATTACTGAAATTATCTGGCTAAAGATTTTTGTATATTTTAACTGCATAACATTCTGTAATTTTAAGTATTATGTGATAAGAAGTAAAGGCTCTGCTAAAATATGACAGACATAAAACAAAAATCTTCACTGTTACTGAAAATACACATACAAGAGTGCCGCAGTCCGGCTTAGCAGAATAAATGGGAGGTGACAAGCAACTTGAAGGTTGAAGCGGGAACTGCTTTATTGTAGGGAAAACTCAGCAGGAACTGAGCGGGAACTCAAGGTAGCGGGCACCCAAGGTAGCAGGAGCCGCCTTACTGCAAAACAGCAGAGGTATATATACCTAACTGGTTACACACAGCTTGACTCAATTAGCATCATCCAGTTATAGCAATCGGCCAATAAGGAATCCCTACCATCTTAATGGCTTGGTGGCGTTGCCTTACAAACCACTCTTCCTGGCAAACTGCCAGGCGCCATCTTGACTTGATTTGCGGTCCCCAACACAAGAGAGTTTAAAAACATTTCTTAAGAATCAAGAACTTATCAGTAAAATCTAGAACAAATGTGGTACTTAAACTACTTACCAATCTGACTTTTAGGTGCTCCAGCAACCACTAAATTTAAAGTACTTGAAGACATTTCTTTTCTTGTTGGATTAACAATACATTCCCCATCAATCATTCCTATTCGTACTGCCCCTAAAATATATTAAAATATTGGTAATTGTTTCAAGGCATTATTCCAGTGATGGCTTCAATCCTTTTTGTGACCACAGAACAAAATTCCTCTTTTTCTCATGGTACTAAAAGCCCACAGAACATCCTACCCTACCCCACCTTCTAGATCCAGTGAGTTGTTCAAGTATATCATTTCTTCTACACATTTTCAGTTATGCTGAATGCTCTTCTGGTCTACAATGTACTCTCTCCAAAAAAGATGTTTGCATCTGATCCTACTGAGGTTCAACCTCCATACTGGCTACTTTAAGAAGCCCTCCATGATAAATCAAAACCACAAAACTAAACCTGACCTTCCCTATCATTTTCTAAGCACCTCAGCTATGTCTTTAACACAATAATGCAAATAATTATCTGTCTCTCTCACTTAAGCTAACAGCAAAAACAGTTTCTTTTGTCTTTGTGTTGCTAGTCTGTCTTTGTTTCTTCAGTGCTTAGCTCACTAGCTTGTATTTAGGATACTTGATAATCATTTATTTGATGAATAATTTTTATATTTATGATTACAACTTATAAGAGCTATCTGTTACAAACATTTGTTTGTTTTCTCCTGAAAGACTGTGTGCTCTGATAATTTTCAAGTGCAAATCAAGAAAAAGTTCTTTTATAAAAAGAGGCCACTAAAAAGTGAATATATCTAGGAACATTAAATCTAAATGGAGCATCTTCACACATTGCTATTAAAAGCAGGCAAGGATCAGAATGTCTCAAAGACCTGCAAGGACTCTTGGATTATCAACCCCATAAGAAGTAATATATCAGAGTCAATAAATCTATAGCCTTGCTAAAACATGCTTACCACTATTAGAACAACATAAATACAGATTTTTATTTTCATAGCCTAACTTACCAACAGGTCCATTCCAAGGAATATCTGATAATGAGAGGGCTACAGAAGCTTTAAAAAAAAAAAAAGGAAAAAATAAGAGCTGAAATTAAAATATTTCATTATTTTTCAAAAATCAACAATGATCCTTTTAATCTCTATTTTTATACTTACCACCATTAATTGCTAGGACATCAGGTTCATTAATACCATCTACTGCTAACAGATTACAAAGGACCTGGTAGAAGGGGAAAAAATTTGAAGTACTTAACAACAAATGTATTTGATTTGAGAGGACTATCTTGGCCTAAAATATAGGAATACTACATGTTAAAAGCATGGTTAATTTTGGTTATATTTAACTAAATCCTTGACATTGGGTAAATTAGTTAAATTAAACTCTGAAAGTTCTCTCAACTTTAAGAAAGAAAAATAATGGCATCTTCCCAAAGGGTTTCTATGAGAACTGAAGAAATACTGTAATATAAAATATTTACCACAATACCAGTTGCATTGCAAGTATTCAGCAAATCTTAGCTACATATTTCTATTATCTGTTTATAAGTAAAGATGAAACAAATCAATGAACTGCTTAATACTGCAGTGATATGCCTATGTCAAATTCTTTTTTGTCTATGTCATATTCTTAAGGAAGTAATTTCCCTTGTAGTTCCTAGCACTGAAAAAAAGGAATCTCCCTGAAGCTGTGACATCCTTGCAAAGGTACAATTACACATTTAGTTCATGTAAGTAAAATGATTACTTAATTAAGTACTCTTAATTAAAGTATATGTATCATTATGAGCTAATAATCAGAAAATATTAAAATGTAATGAGGTAGAGTTTCAGAGGATCCAATAATAAAGATAATTTCTTTATGCTCAGGGCTTTTTTTTTTTTTTTAGAGAGAGAGAGACAGAGAGAATTTTAATATTTATTTTTTTTAGTTTTCGGCGGACACAACATCTTTGTTTTTTTTTTTTTTTTGAATGTGGTGCTGAGGATCGAACCTGGCCGCACGCATGCCAGGCAAGCACAATAAGTTACTACTTGAGCCACATCCCCAGCCCATGCCTCAGGGCTTTTGAGCTTCCCATTTCCACTGCCTTGAGTGCTTTCCAACATTCCTGGTTAGCTGACTCCTCAGAATTTAGGTGTCAGCTCCAACTGATACCAAGTAAATGTTAGCTTTTCAAAAGTATTATCTTTTTTTTTAAAAAACATGACTTAAAAGTAAAATGCAAGAGCACTACCAAAATTTTTTATAATATTTAGCCAAAGAAGAATTACAGAGATTAAATAAGTTTTGATTGACCTGGAAACAAATAACATAAAACAGAACTTACTTGTGTATCATAAAAGTAGCCAGCGGGAAAGAGAGGTCTAATTGAACGATCTCCAAAAAGAAAGAAAAAAGACATTAAATAGTATTGACAGAGTTGCTTTAGAGTCCAAAACTTTTGAAATAATATTGCCAGTTGTTCGATATGTCAAAACAAAACCAAACCCATTGGATTGATTTGCTAACAGGAAAGTTGATAAATATCAATCCTTCAATTAATAATAGACCATGACCTAACACTAAGCAGAGGAAAGACAATTAGGACTAAGAGCAGACCAAAAGAAAATGGCACCTTGGTAGTTTGTGTCTGTTCATCAACTACCAATTTCTGGGTATGGGAACTATAAACTATATTTATATTTATGACTGTCAAAGACTTAGAAGATTATTCACATGTCAGTAGTTGATACATATCATGTTTAGGAATAACTATTCTCAACATAAAAAAATGAAAAATACTAGGGACAAATCAACATAGTAGAGGCATGAGCTATGGAATTCATATGCTCAATAGATATAACAAATATTTATTGAATGCCTATCCTTTTTTGTTTTTTGGTATCAGGGATTGAAACCATGGGCACTTAAACACTCAGCCACATCCCTAGCCCTGCCTTTTTTGAATCAGCTTCTCCATAAAATTGCTTAGAGTCTTGCTAAGTTGCTGAGGCTGGCTTTGAACTTGTGATACTCCTGCTGCCTCAGCTTCCTGAATGGCTGGGATTACAGATGTGTGCCACTGCACCTAGTTGAATACCTGTTCTGTGCTAAGCAGTGTACAAGTTAAAGAAGATTTGGTAGGTGAAGAGACATTTTTTTTTCTCTCATGAAGACTACATTCAAGTGAGAGAATAGAGACAGTAGATAATCTTTAGTGGCACTCATGCAATGAAGGAAAATTAAAGAAACATTGGCATATCTGAGAGCATTAATGCCTCTATCTTGATATCTTACCTATTATTCGACTTGTAAGAATTTCTTTATCAGAAGAACCAATCTCTCTTCTAAGATAGTTTGTGGGAATTCTTCCTGCTGCAGCAGCCTTCTGTCTGTAGTCAACCTGCAACAGCAATGAAAAAATAAGGTTTGTATGATTCCTTTTTTTAAATAAAAACCATGTCACAAAATCTATTATATAAATACTAATTTTCTTGAGTTTGCTAACAACATACTCTATAGACTAGGAGTAAAGGTTGTTTAATTTACTTTTAAAGTTTTGTATATTTTAGGGAAAGGAGAGTTTATAGAAATATATCAGCCAGAGTTGGGCGGGGTGGTGCATTCCTATAATCCCAGTGACTCAGGAGGCAGAGGCAGGAGGATCACAGGTTTGAGGCTAGCCTCAGCAACTTAGTGAGGCCCTAAGCAACCTAGTGAGACCCTGTCTCAAAAATAAATAAATAAAATAAAAGTTAAAAAGGGCTGGGAATACAGTTCAGCGTAAAGTGTTCCTGGGTTTAATTCCCAGTACCTCTCCCCAAAAGAAAGAAATATTTCAGCCAATTATTTTAAAAAGTCTTCTACTTAGCAGTCAGATGACTACCTAGCTTCACTACTTTCCACAGTGGCTTATTCTGTCAAACACTGACTTTTTGTATCAACTGTTAGGTATAACTGCATTCCCTTTCATATTAGAAAGAAGCCTTAACATCCTAAGGCTCTCTTCACTTACCATACACTTGTAGACTCATACTGAAGGGAAACCCATGAAGGCAATGAATTCATTGCTTATTTGTCATCAGAGCACTCATGCACTTTATTCACTTATCTCATCAACTCATATAACTGGATAGTCTAAAGAATGTTTACTACTAGCATGAAAAGTGGTTATAAAATAATCCATTCAAACTCTCTTAACGATTCAGTATCAAACAACTAAGGACGACCTTTTCCTGAACAAAGTTTATATTTTGTACTCATAAGAAAATGGAAAAATATTACAAATTCTACATTTATGCTATAACTACAGTTCAGATAAATTAGCAAATTACTTACCACCAAAGGCATGAACTGGGAAGGTGAAGGTTTTGTTTTACTGACAGCTGTGACCATCACTGCAGTGTCACCTGACTTAAAACATAAACACTGGTAAATACCTTCGAAATCAGACACTAACATCTAAGTAGCAACTGAATACTCACTCCAAAAATTTTTTAAGCAAAGAGATGTCTTATTCCAAGTGATGATTATTCACAAATAGTCCACTCTTGGTTCTCCCCACCCGCTGCATTTTTTTTGTACTGGGGACTGAACCCAGGGGGCTTCCCTTTTTTATATTTTATCTAGAGACAGGGCTTCACTAAGTTGCTGAGGCTGGCTTTGAACTTGTGATCCTCCTGTCTCAGCTTCCTGAGTTGCTGGGATTACAGGCGTGTACACCCAGCTTGGCACCATCCCTTCTATATGAGCATGACCAGCATTAGAACTGTCACTAAATTTTTGAAAAGGACAAAGGGGGATCACTGATAGCTTAGTCACACCAAATAAATTGAATCATATTTTCTATTTCTAATGAGGAAATTTAGGTTGTATATAATAAAAATTTCCAATTTCACTGTTCTATTGAGAATAATGAAATTACTTTCTCTAGAAATGTCTAACAGATTCTATTAACAAAAATATAATAAAATCCCATGTTTGGAAAGGATCGTCAAGGTCATTTAATACATTCAGGTCTGACTCTGGTTTTGACACTGGGAAAGATCTTAGTGTCTGAATTAATTCCCAATATCACATTTCTAAGTTATATGATGTCATAAAGATTCAGTACCAATAGACATAAATATTTTTAGGATGAAGTTCTAAAAACCTGGATTTTTACCTGTACTACAGCAGAGCCATCTGCAAATCTGGCCAGTTTCCCAGAGGATATTTCTATTTTTCTGTTTAAAAATAAAAATTCAACACAATGACTTAGTAGCATATAAAATAATCCAAGATTGTAACAGAAGAACTAAAGGCTATCAAGCCTCACAAATCCTCTTCCCTCAGCAAAAAAATAAAAAGAATGAGATTCATGTACAAGGGGAGCTGCTTATAGAAGATAAAAAGAAGGTACAGGACAAACATGAATGTGAGATAAAGTATTTTAGGGGCACAGAAACCAAGTGCCTTTCTAAATATTAATTCCCATTTACCATCTCAGTTCAATCTCTTTGCATCCCTTGCCTTGTTGACTACAGTAACCTTTTAGTACACAAACTACATCATTTCCCTATTAAAAATCTTATAAGGGGCTGGGGCTGTAGCTTAGTGGTGGAGCGCTTCCTTGCTGGTATGAGATGCTGGGTTCATTCCTCAACACCACATACAAATAAATAAAGATATTGTGTCCATCTACCACTAAAAAAATAAAAAATTAAAAAAAAATCTTATAAAATTTCCCTCAGTGCTTTCAGGGCAAAATATAAACTACTAAATATTGCCTATAAAGACTTTCATGTTTGAGAAAAGTGTCAAGATAATTTAATGGTGGAAGAATAGTCTTTTCAAGCAATGGTGCTAGCATGACTGGATATTCATATGCATACACATGCAAAATGAATTTGGACTCCTTCATCACACAAAGATAAAAACTAACTCAAAATGGATCCTAGAACTAAAAGAACTAAAACTACAAAATTCTGAAAAAAAAAAAAAAAAACACAGCAGTAAATCTTTATAAATTTGAGCTAGACAATTTTTTTAAAAAGATATGATATCAAAAAGCATAAATGACAAAACAAAAAATAAAGTGGACTTCATCAAAATTAAAAACTTGGCATGAGTCAATGGATATTATTGAGAATGTAACAGAAAGTCCACAGAGGAGGAGAATACATTTGCAATTCACATATCTGATAAGAGGCTTACATCTAGAATGTTAAAAATTCTTTCAAATGAATAAAAAGACAACTCAGTTTTGCTAGGGGTGGTTGCACATGCCTGTGATCCCAGAGACTCCAGAGGCTGAGACAGGAAGATGGCAAATTCAAGTCCAGCCTCAGCAACTTAGCAAGGCCCTAAGCAATTTAGCAAGACCCAGTCTCAAAATTAAAAAAACATAAAAAATTAAAAGGGCTAGAGATGTGGCTCAGTGGTAAAGAGCTTCTGGGTTCAATTCCTAGTACCCAAAATATAAATAATATAAAATAGCCCTCCCACATCACCACTCTCTATAAACAATATATATATATATATATATATATATATATATATATATATATATATAAAAGATAATTCAATTTAAAAAATTGGCAACGGATTTGAAGGGACATCTGTCCAGAGATATACAAATGGCCAATTAATACATGAGAAAAAGCTTAATATCATTATCCACCAGGGAAATGCAAAGCAAAATCACAATGAGATACCACTTTACACCTAGTAGGATGGTGTACTCAAAAAAACTGGTAATATATGTTGGTATGACTGTGGAGAAACTGAAATTCTCATACTGCTGGTGGGAATACAAAATGGTGTTCTAGCTTCATGAGATAAACTGGCAGTTCCTTAAAGTATTAAATAAAGAGTTCCTAGTGGCCCAGCAATTCTACTCCTTTGGATATACTTGAGAGAAATGAAAATACATCCGTACAAAAATCTGTACATGAATGTTCATAGCATTCTTCTTCTTATTATCATCATCCTTTTGGTACTGGGGATTGAATCCAGGGGCGATTTACTACCAAGTTACATCCCCAGCCCTTTAATTTTTTTTTTTTTTTTTTTAATTTTGAGACGGATTGTCACTAAGTTGCTGAGGCTGGTCTCTAGCTTGGGATCCTCCTGCCTCAACCTCCCAAATTGTTGGGATTACAGGTGTGCACCATTTCCCCTGGCTGTACAATCTATATTAGGCAAAGAAAACAGGTGGTTGCTTATCATTTTATCTCACAATCTCAGCTGGGATTAAACTGACTTATAGTTTTTTTCTGGTCTATGTACTTTTAGTTGTTTTTGGTAAAATTCTGTTATTACTTTTGCTCCATGGTTCATTTTACCTGTGATGGTTTAGATATGAGGTGTTCCCCAAAAGCTCATGTGAGACAATACAAAAAGGTTTAGAGATGAAATGATTGGGTTATAAGAAGGTTAATATAAATAGTGCATTAATCCCCTGATTGTTGGTAATTATAGGTAATTCATGGTGTGGCTGGGGGAGATAGGTCTCTGGGGGCATATCTTTGGGGTATATATTTTGTCCTTGTTGAACAGAGCTCTCTACTTCCTAAAGCGATGCCTGAGCCACTACTTTTGCCACACTCTTTTGCCATGATGTTCTACCTCATGTGTGAGGCGTTGGGTTAAATTCCTCGAGCCCCAAGGAATGGAGCCAGATTCTAGGGACTAAAACCTCTGAAAACAGTGAGCACCAAAATAAACTTTTCCTCCTCTAAAATTATTCCTGTCAGATCTTTCAGTCACAGCAGCAAAAAAAAAAAGCTAACTACAGCAAACTCTCAGCCAACTGACTCTTCAATATTACATGCATAAAATATTTCCAAATATATAGAAGACTGATAATATAGGGACGGCCTCTGGGGGTTGGAACTGCCTGGCTATGGAAATGTATGGAAGACTGTCATGCTATTTAAATGTTGAACCACGTAAACGAATACCTAAACAAAACACACTTCTGAAAAAATAAATAATAATAAAAAGGATGATAAGATGAGCAGGGAGATCTTATTGGTGGGGAGAAGAGTAGGAGGAGGCAGCTAAATAAGGAATTGGAGAGAAGAGAGGAGCCACACAGGAAGTAGAACTACAGGGAAAAAGAGGTACTTAAAGAACATTTTTAGAAATATTGCAGGATGATATAGAATGTAACCACCTTCCTAAAAATTCCACCAAGAAATATTCAGTAAAAATACTTGCCTCCACTGAAAAATGAGGGGTGGAGGTACTTTAAGATTTGGCTTTGGACTCTGTAAAAATTTTTAGATTCAGATTTTTACTGTTTGCTACATCCATAGTGAATTATCTATAGTTACTAAAATGCCATTTCACCTTTCTATGATAGTACCTTCCAATTTTTCTGTTGCTATTCTCCTTACTATTTGAATTACTGATAATTCCTCCTTATCCTTCAAAATTCACAACAATTGCAAGCTTTGGGGTAAGAAAAGTAATGCTTTGTACTCCCTTAGTGCCCTATTCTTATCTTTCCCCACAATGATTTTCCAGTGAATGTGTGTTTATTTCATTTCTTCATCAGACCTTATATCTCCAGTTCTTGGTACATAGCAGTTGTGCAATAAAAGCTTGTGAAATGAAAATTAAACACTTGCCTCAAAGGCACTATGAGCATTAAACATACTATCTGGAAACACCTACCACAATAGTATATAGTCTCCCATGGTGTTAAAAAATATATTAAATATAATGTATCTGGAATATAATGGCTACTCAATAAATGTTGCAAGTGACAAACTTAAGACAAAGATGAACTGATTTATCTAGCAGGTATCAAACTCATTGAGTTGTATTTTTCAACACATGGCACACATTTACAAAAAACTAGCTTCAGGGGGGCTGGGGATGTGGCTCAGCAGTAGAGTGCTCGCCTAGCATGTGTGAAGCGTTGGGTTCAATCCTCAGCACCACATTAAAAATAAATAAATAAATAAAGATATTTTTAAAAAAATAACTTCAAAAGAGATCCAGATTGATTAATAAATGAATTAAAGTAGATTACTTATGGGAATTATGGATGTCACTGCTTTTAGTAGATCACAGTAAGTGTCTGTTGAATGAAATGTTGTAGGGTTTATCTTTGGGCAAGAATGTGCAGTCCTTAAAGAATGGAAGAGATATCCTTTCCCTAGTTCCTCTTCCCCCCAAAATCAGAATTAACCAAGGGTAGAAAGAGTCTTAGAGATAATCTAGTTTAGAGGTAAGGAAACTACTGCCTATGGCCTGTTTCTGTAGAGTTCTTCAACTGAAAATTTTTGTATAATGTTTAGAAGTTTTGTAAAGACACATACACACAAAGAGGAATTGAGAGGGTGACAATATGCCCACAAAGCCTAAAATATTTGCTGAAAAGTCTGCATACTCTTGATCAAATCCTGTCTGATCATTTGTCCCATGTTGTGAAGTAATTAGTTTGTTGTTTATTCATTAAATTAGGGAAGTGGCTCTGGATTCTAAGCCAGTTTTTTTTTTGTTGTTGTTTGGTATGAATTAGGGTCAAAATATTTTTAAAATGCAATAAAAATTTTTAGATAATAAAAGTATGCATTAGCAATTTCGTTTGTTCGAAAAACGATCACATCAAAAGTGATTTTTCATGTTCTTGTGGTGTGAACTGATAAATACATCAATAAGAGTGTAAATTATAGGTTATAGATTAGTAAAAATATAGATTATAGATATAAGATTTTGATAAGTGAGATAAGACAATTTTAAAGCAAGAACTGTCAGACAAGCCTAAGACTCCATTTTGCTGTCTTCTATAAAACACTGTTAAAAGAGCTGTTTCTGAGAAACTGAAATAAAATCTGTTTTCTTATTTAAAAAACTGTCTTTCTGTACTTTGTACCCCACAAATTGTACCCTACTTAGGATGCAGCAGTGGTTGTGGTGAACTACATCCTGGGTGTGAATGCCCTTGTAGATTCTCGTCCACGGACTCCTGCCCAATTTCAAGATGCCACTATCTAGCACCTGCTTGAACCCAGGACTGTGGTCAGCTGAACTGCAAAGCTAATGCTATTTTAGCTTCTTGCTTGCTGACTGGAAAATTACAGTCCAGCCTAGAGCCCAAAGGTCCCACTTACCAATGTTTTAATTTCTATGATTAGCTAGCTTACATGACAAAAAGCAAGTCACTGAGTTGTGGTTTTTGTGCTCACATTCTCTTTGGATGGACCAGGAAGATGCTGTCCTCCCACAGAGCTTGAGTCTCTGTGGTGGGTGAAAGTCTCTGGCCAGGTAAATAAAGATCTCTTTTGATTTGAAATTCGGACTTAGAATGCTTTCTGAGGCGTCTCCCCATAACAATGTGAATTCCAGCAAATGGACCCCTGGGAAAACTATGGACTTAATAAGAAACACTATTTCACAATCCATCTAGCTTGGTTTACTCTGAGAAAGTTACCTAGCTTTTTTTGTTATCTTAACTATAGAATGAGGGTGATAGCATCTTTACTATAGGTTTAAAAATATTGCGTGCATCATATAATTGGCGTTCAATAACCTGACTTTCCATTTCCTTCCAGGGTCATGCTGGCCACACTTTTAGGCAATCAGTTGGGCTGGATGACGAGTGCACACATAGTCAACTCGTTATCTCAAGGTGGAATGCCTCCCACTTCAGCGCCCAAGGGTCTTTGAAAATTAACAGAATAGATGTCAGCTGGAAAGACAGGCTCTGGAGAAAAGAATCCCGAACAGAGGAAGGAAAGATTCAATAAGCAAAGTCACAAGGCAGAGCAGGAAGGAGGAAAGTCCGAGAAGACAGGCTCCATATTCAGAAAAGGAAATATGGAATTTAGGTTTGGGGTAAAGAGAGGTTAAAGAGACGTCGGACGGATTTGTAACCAGGAAGATTAATGTATCTGGGCTGGCCGGAAAGGATACCTTGGGACAAGAAGGGAGCGCACGCCGTCCCTTACCTGTTGCCTAGGTCCACAGCCACAGCTCGGGACCCCACGCTACCCGATAGTGCTCGCATCTGCAAATACGTGAGCGCCGGATTCCGCCTGGGCATGCGGAGGGGACTATCGCCCAGCGGCCGGAGCCGGAGGCAAGAGCAGCAGCGACTGCAGGCCGCCATGACACCCAGCACGCGATCAGCCCGGGCTGTGCCCTGATTGGCTCTCTCCCAGTCCGCGGGGAGGAGCCTGGTGCAGTTTCGTTTCCGCGGTGCTGGAGGAACCTCTGGGAAGCGGATACCTTGTCCGCTTTCTACGAAGACTAGAGAGGGTCAAACCTCTGAGAGTGCGATTGCGCTCTTTCCATTTACCCACCAATTAAAGGCAAATACGTAAAAAATGCGCGCGTGCGCGTGTAGCTATCGTAGTTTGAAAGAAAGTCCTTAAATAATATAAGCCTTTAATAAGTAAATATAGTAATAGTGGAAGTCACTGGATAACACACTGTTATTTGGCTCTGTGAATTAATAACTGCGTGGCCCGCCATGGAAAGAGATCCTTACATCTCCTCCGCCCCGGTTTCTATTTTATAGATTCCACATAGCAAATATGTTACTGTAAAGGTTTGTTGTTAATTGATTTCCAGTAAATTAATTTTATTTCTCGTTGACTCCCATATCATATTTTTAAGTATCTATAGTGTCATTCCTGATTCATCTTCATTTTCGTTGCTAATATTCAGCATTTCATTTTTTTTGCCCCTTTTGGTTAAATGTTAATGTTTTCTAAGCCAACTCTTTTATTTTTCTTTGTTATTATAGCATTATGGTTACACATGGTCGTTGGGTTCATTTTGACAAAATCATACATGCATGGACTTGAGTTTACTCCTTTCAGTATCCCCTTTACCCTTCCTTCCCTCTTCTCTCCCCCAATTCGCCTACCTCTGATCTGTTGATCTTCCTTTTGCTGATTAATTACCTTATTTTTTATAGGTGCTTTCTCTATATACATAAAGGTATATTTATTTATTTTTACCTTCTCAGAGGTACCTTCTTCTTCCTTTTTATTTATTTATTTATTTATTTATTTTTGTGGTACTAGGGTCCAACCCATGGCTCCATGCTTGCTATACCACTGAGCTACATCCCCAGCCCGCTGCAGTATATTATTTATGTACATAAATGTGATTTTGCTAAATTCATTCAGCATTTCCTCCCCTTTCCCATCCTTCCTCTCTCCCTCTTGATCTTCTTCTACTCCACTGATTTTCCATGTATCTTTATGATATTTAATACACACACACACACACACACACACACACCTTTTTTTTCCTCTTATTTTGTTATAGCTTCCACATATGAAAGAAAACATTTGACCGTTGATTTTCTGAATCTGGCTTATTTCACTTAGCATGATGTTTGTTCTCCAGTCCCTTGCACTTACTGGCAAATGCCAGAATCTCATTCTTCTTCTATCCCTGTAGTATGCTGATTTTAGTTCTTTTGGATAAATACCAAGGGGATAGGATATCTGGGTCATATGGTGGTTACATATGTATCTGGGCTGTCTGGAAATGATACCTTGTGACAAGAAGGGAGCCGCATGCCGGTTCCTTACCCGTTGCCTAGGTCCACAGCCACAGCTGGGGCTGTGGCCTAGTGTCTTGTTTTTTTAATCTACCATCTGTTTTCCAGAGTGATTGTACTAATTTGTAGCCCCAACAATGTAGAGTGTACCTTCCCTTCCCCCACATCCTCACCTGCATTTATTATTATTTGTATTCTTGATAATTGACATTCTAACTGGAATGAGATGAAATTTTGGTGTAATTTTGATTTGCCTTTCCCTGATTGCTTGCAATGTTGAACATTTCTTCATATATTTGTTGGCCATTTGTGTTTCTTTTTTAAAATGTCTGCTTAGTTCTTTTGCCCATTTATTTATTGGGTTATTTGTTTTGTTTTATGGTGTTAAGCTTTTTGAAGTTTTTAAAATATATTCTGGATATTAATCCCTCCAATTCTGAAGCAGTTTCTCTCTTCGTGTTCTTGTTTCCTTTGCTGTGCAGAAGTTTTTTGTTTTGTTTTGTTTTGTTGGTGCCAGGGATTGAACCCAAAGGGCACTCTGCCACTGAGCTACATCTGCTGGGAGCCATTAGCCAAGTAGGTATGACAATTTCCTTGCCAGCGTACCCCATGTTGCTGACATGTTGCAGCGACATTGAATGTAGGTGACCTTGCTCAAGGACCAAGGCAGATTAGGGTGTTCCTGGTTTTAAGATAATCGTGTTTAGGGCGTTCCCAGTTTAGGTTCCAGGTTTAAGGTTTAAGATTATTCCTGCTGGGAATAGGGCGTATCCTGCTGCCTGAGTTCCCCTTGAGTTCTCACGGGATTCAGACAGTATATTTTGGAGATAGATGCCCAGTGGAGGTGGATTTGGGAGAGAACGTGGATTTGGGCAGAAAACGTGGATTTCCCCAGAACGTGATTGTAGACGGCTGGTGTGAGTTCGGGAATAAAGAGTTGCTGTTTGAATCTACAAGCTGTGTGGTGGCTCGTGATTGTGTGCCCAGCCAGACTGTGGCATACATCCTCAGCCTTATTATGTATTTTATTTAGAGACAGGGTCTCACTGAGTTGCTCAGCACCTCACTATTGTTGGGCTGACTTTGAACTCGGGATCCTCCTGTCTCAGCCTCCATAGCCACTGGGATTATAGGCATGCACCATCGTTTCCGGTAGAAGCTTTTTGATGACATCCCACTTATTGATCCTTCATTTTATTTCTTGAGCTTTAGGAGTGTTGTTAAGGAAGTTGGTGCCTGCATCAATATGATGAAGTGTTGACCCTGTGTTTTCTTCTTGCATAGTTTCTGTTCTAATTCCTACTTTGATTTGACTTTTGTGCAGGGTGAGAGATATGGATATCCAGTTTCCCCAGCCCCATTTGTTAAAAAAGGCTCTCTTTTCAGGAGCTCTTTTTACTGATTTTGGATTTCCATGCTTGAGAAGGAATTATCATTAGCTTTGTTTATGGGTATTTAGTGTTAAAATTACTTTTGCCTCTTTTATCTTTGACTTTACCTTATGTTGCCACAGTGATTTCAAGACCAATGCATTGAAACCTCTCCTGAAGACAAATCTATCAGGATATACTTGCAATAATTCAACATGACTTAGGATTTATAAAGTAAAGATACTAAGTCACCTTTCAATAATGTGCCTAAGTACTATGTTTTCATTCATGCAATGTTGCCTAATAGTTTAGAACAGGTACTTAGTCCCAGGTTATTCTAAACTTGTCTTTCTCACCAGTTGTGTGTGTCTCTCTTTGAGCCTGTTTCCTTGTCTGTAAAAATAGATAATGATATGAGCCTTGCAGAGTTTTAGTTTTTGTAAGGATTGTCACAGAGGATAGAAGATATTTATTACACAACCTGGCATACAGTCAGCTTCAGCTTTGAGTCAACTTTTTTCCCCCCCAGCCCTGGAATTTGAACCCAGTGGCCCTCTACCACTGAGCTGCATTCTTAGATCTTTTTATATTTTTCATTTTGAGATAGGGTCTCAATGAATTTTCAGACTAGCTTCAAATTTGTGAGTATCCTGCCTCAGCCTCCTTCTTAATAGCTGGAATTGCAGGCATGTGCCACTATGTCCAGCTCAATCAGTCTTTTCTTAATTTTCCTTCTAATTTTCTTTCCTTTTTGGGGGGTGGGGGTGGCATGTACCAGGGATTGAACTCAGGCGAACTAGGCCACTGAGCCACATCCCCAGCCCTATTTTGTATTTTATTTAGAGACAGGGTCTCACTGAGCTGCTTAGTAGCCTTGTTTTCTGCTGAGGCTGGCTTGGAACTCTCGATCCTGCTGTCTCAATCTCCCAAACCACTGGGATTACAGATGGGTGCCACCGCGCCTGGCTCCTTTTTTTTTTTTTTTTTTTTAATTTACTTAACTACTTTCTTGCCTTCAGAACCCCTTGATTCAGTTAACTTCCATCCAGTCAGAATTGCTGGAAAGGAGCATTTATTTAAAGAGCTCACCTTTGTTTCATCACACAGATTCAAAATAATTAGAATAGTTGTAATTGAATTATAAACTCAGAAGCAACACAGCACTGAAATCCTGCAGCGGAATTTTGTTATGAAGCCTTCATACAGATGATACACAAAATATTTAAGTATTTTTAGATTAGCCTAGAAACAAAAGTATATAATGTTCAAATTTTTGTGGTTGTAATTACTGAAACTATGACTCATGAAAAGACAATCCATTGAAAAGATGTCAAATTCTAGAAGTATAATTCTGTCACATATAATTCCACAGCCACAATATCATTTAAAATGAATTTTTTAATTTGTGACTCTTGAAAGACATTAAAAATTATACAGTTTAAGTCAACAAGCAGAATTTCTCAGATTTTCTTCTCTCTTTTTTCATACTCAAATGAACTTGCATCAAAATAATACCATTGCATCCTTTGAGTACCAATTTCATTTAAGTAAAACATCATTGCATTAAGTTGTTTAATTAAAATGTAATTTGGTTTATAATTGGTTTAGACAGTATATACATTTATTTTACTTTTGTGACTATCTAAAAAGCTGCAAGAATAATGAGTCTATATCTTGTTAAATATTTGTAGATATTTAAGTAACTTTTTAATTAGAAGTATTAACAAACAGTCCCTGAGAATTTTCTCTCTTGAAAGAACGTAGTCTTTCTCAACTTTAAGAAACATTACTCTATGCAACTGCCAAAGGGAGGTTTCTAAATCACAAGTATAATTGTGATTAAAATTCTTCAGTAGCTTCCCAAGTTTTTAATCTGCAGGATAAAACCAAAACTGCTTTGTGTGGTCTATAAACATTTTCTTCCTGGTTAGCCTCATTAACTTCTGTTTACTACTTTATTTTTTCTCCACTTCTTCATCTTATACCTTAAATAAACTTCCATTCCCCCTTCTCCATATTTTTGTTGGTGCATTATAGTTGTACATAATTGTGGGATTAATTGTTTCATACTCATACACATACACAATATAGCATAATTTGGTCAATTTCAGTTCCCAATATTACCCCTTTCTTGTCTCTCCTCACTCCCGGGAGTCTTTCCTCTATTCTACTAATTTTCCTGAGAACCCCTCCCTGCTTCTTTTCCTTTTTTCTTTAGCTTCCGTGTATGAGAAT